TCCCGGAATTTCTAAAGCCGTATGGAAAACAACAGCCAGGTGTGTTGCGTGCCAAAGGAACAACCCCAAGAAAGATCCTCATTAGAAGAAAACAGGGAAACAGTACCAAGGACAGTGTCTGTCTGAGGACTGGCAAACAGGCTTTATCCAGACACTAGGGTCCAAGGATGAAAATACTTGTTAGTCACACATTTTCAGGATGGGTAGAGGCCTATCCTATCAGAACTGGGAAACTCTCAGAGGTAATGAAAGCCCTACTGAGGGAAATAATTCCTCGCTTTGGCCTACCCAACATCATCCAGAGCAATGACAAGAGATGCTTTTGTTTCAGAAATTACATGGAAGATTAGTAAATTTATAGGAATCAAGTGGAGAATCCACGCAGCATAGGGACCTCAGGCTCCTGGGAATGCAGAGAAGATGAATCACACCTTGAAGAAAGATATAGCCAAACTGTGTCAAGAAACTCATCTCTATTGGGATCAAGTTTTGCCTAGTGCCCTGCTCAGGGTAAGGGTGGCTCCTCGAAATGGGATTCAATTGAGCCCTTATGAAATTGTGGACAGTCAACCATCTCAGGCTTTGCTTGGGGTGGGAGATGTGTATGTAGGTAAGGCATGAAAATAAAGAGCTATGCACAGCATTTAAGTCAGATGCTAACTGTGATTAGTGACCTTAGGTGTATTGGAGCTCTCTCCCCCATAGGTTCACGACATCCTTTGAACCTGGAGATAAGGTGCTACTCAAGTCTTGGGAGACAGAAACCTCAGAGAGCCAACTAGAAAAAGTGTGGACTGGAATCTATGTTGAACAGACTTTCATTCCATGTCTTATAGGTGTTTGTACTCCTCTGGAAAGATAAACAGGAACCTAAAGAACACAGAAATGTTCTTAAAAAATGCTAATGTAGTCCAAGCTGTAAAATATGCAACTTTTGTCAACTACACTAGAAACTGTTTTAGATGAATTGCAACACCACCACTAATAATATCTTATGCCTTTAGTCATGTCAAATGGACTACAAAATGGTTTCTAATATGTGGAAGGACTGTTTATGCAATAGCAAAATGATTTTTAAATGATCTTATCTGCTTTTATGTTGTTTTGGTTTGTATTCCTTTAATTAGAGTAATCTTAGAGAAATAAGATAATTAAAAACTAACTGGGGAGAATGATAGGGAAACTCGAGAGTTAAAGACTTCGGCCTTAACTACAGTTGACAGGCTTAAGTGATTAATGCAGGTGGAAAGCTGTTGTTTCAGGAGACTCCAGAAGACAAGCAATTCAACCTTGGTGCCCCAAAAGGTCTACAAGCCACAGAGATGGCATCTGAGCCATTATGTTCCAGGGAGCGAACACAGATAAAGAACTACTGATCAACAGATAAAGAAGTACCAGGAAAATCACCACCAGACTGCAACTCTTATCCAATTAACCTTTTCTCCCAAACCCCTTACCTGTCCTTTCTTCTCCTTATAAAAATGTTGGCTTGTGATGAAGGTTTGAGGGTACTAAATCCACCATCTTCTCAGATCACCAGCATCTGATTAAAGCACCCATAAGAATTCAATCATCTTTCTATTTATTGGTTCTGGTGGCGACAGGCAGCACGGATGCCAACTTATAGTAGGTTTCACTACTATATTAGGCCACTCTACCAAGCCTGGGAGATGTAGCAGCTCTACCTAATACATAGAAGCAAACACAGGGAGACAGCCAAAATGAGGAGACAAAGAAACATGGCTCAAATGAAAGAAGAGAACAGAAATCCAGAACGACAATTAAATGAAATGGAGACAAGCAATCTACTAGATGCAGAGTTCGAAACACTGGTTATAAGGATGCTCAATGAACTTAGTGAGAAACTCAACAGCATAAAAGAGATCTAGTCAGAAACGGATACGCTTGTCAAAATAAAGAACAACTTACAGGGAATCAACAGTACAGTGGATGAAGCTGAGAATCAAATCAGCAACTTAGAGAATAAGGGAGCAAAAACCAGCCAATCAGAACAGCAAGAAGAAAAAAGAATCCAAAAAATTGAGGACAATGTAAGGAGACTCTGAAACAACTTCAAGCATACCAACATTCACATTATGGGGGTACCAGAAGAAGAAGAGAGAGAAAGAAATTGGAAAGTTATTTTAAAAATGACAGAAAACTTCCCTAACCTGGTGAAGGAAATAGACATACAAGTCCAGGAAGCACAGAGAGTCCCAAACAAGATGAATCCAAAAGGCCCACACCAGGACACATCATAATTAATTGCCAAAGGTTAAAGACAAAGACAGACTCTTAAAAGCAGCAAGAGAAAAGCAGTTAGTTACCTACAAGGGAGCTCCCATAAGACTACCAGCTGATTTCTCAAAAGAAACTTTGCAGGCTATAAAGGATTGGCAACAAATATTCAAAGTGATGAAAAGCAAGGACCTACAACCAAGATTACTCTAGGCAGCAAAGATATCCTTTAGTGTCAAAGGACATGTAAAGAGTTCTCAGACAAGAACCAGCTAAAGGAGTTCACCACCACCACCAAATCAGTATTATATGAAATGTTAAAGGGTCTTCTTCAAGAAGGAAGATAAAAAAATATGAATGATAAAGAGGCAATAAATACATATATATCAACAATTGACTCTAAAAAATAAAATAAACAAGCAGCATAGAGACAGAATCATGGATATAGAAAACATTTTGATGGTTGCCAGATGGAAGGGGGTCAGCGAGATGCATGAAAAAAGTGAAGGGATTAAGAAATATCCATACAAATGGGTAGTCACAGAACAGTAATGGGGATGTGAAGTACAGCATAGCGAATAGAGCAGCCAAAGAACATTGATGCACGACCCATGGACATGGACAACAGTGTGCGGATTGTCTGAGGGCTCAGGGGGAGGCTGAGTGGTGGAGGAAAAATTGGGTCAACTATAACAGCATAAACAATATTTAAAACATTAAAATTAAAATTGCAATTTCATTCAATAATACACTAAGTAATAGCACATGCATATACTGGAATATAAGGCAACCATAATCTGGAGAGTAAACCCATATTTGCTAAGGTGGGTAGATGCCAACATTCTGAGTCAGGGGTAAGGGCTACAGGATCACGTAATCTCATTTACATGAAATTATCAATTTGCTAGAAACTCTTCCGCTCTTTTCCTAAATGCCACATGGCTTGCTCATTTTATTCAGGTTTTCCAATTTTCTCTTCTCAGAGGGGTTTTACAAGACCACCTTTTCTAGCACAGCCCACTCCTCCCTGCACCCATCCAGAATCCAGCCCCAGGCCTGCAGCACAGACCCTGGTGAGCCATGCCAGACCGCCAGCCTCGAAGCACAGCACGTGCACCCATGTGACAGCAGTGACTCAGGCAACGTCTTTGTGCTTTGGCATATAACAATATTAAGTATATATACCCAGAATTTATATTTTGGGAGGAAAATTCTGATTTTGCATGTGTAGTGTGCCTACTTGGTAAAAGTAAAGGTTCAAATAAATGTTCTTTATCAACATTATCTCTTTTTTGCAGCCTTCTGATTTGGACTTTTCTCAAGATGAAAATACATCTCTTGTACAAAAACAGTAACATTTTTGTTAAAAACAATTTCATTTTAAAAATACAAAAAAACAGAAAAGAAAAAGGGCCTAAAATCCCACCACCTGTCAAAAGAAGGAGTGTGTCCCCGTCTGAGACCACCCCTGCCCTCCCACCGACAACTACAGACTTCTTCTCCACGGATACAGACACACAGGTACAGCCACGTAAGTGCTTTTTAGGGAACGCCCAGGCCAGCCACTTGTTTTTCATTCCGATTACTGTAGGCACGGTTCCACCACCTCATTCCTGACTGCCGCACAGTATTTACTCTATTGAAATGTTTTCCCATTAAGGGACATTTAGAGAACTCTCAATTTTTTCCTACCACAATGCTACAATGAATATGAACACATACCCTTACATTCTCCATCTACTACAAGATTCCCAGGAGGGGCTGAATCACAGCGCATGAATTTGAAAATATTGTTTTAAATTAAATATTGGATAAAAAATATTTGTAAAAGTACCGTGAGGTATAAAACAAAACAATAATCTGTACACATCCATCACGCAGCTGAACTATCACTGTGTTTCAGGCTTCCCGTGGCCCCTTACTGAGTCCATGGCAGAGACATAAGAGTTGCCATTAATCAATTTTTTCCTCTTTAAAAATTTAATAAAAGAATTTGATATTGTTTTATTTTTTATTTCTTTAATCACTACAAAATGTAGTCTCTTCTCATAGGTTTATTGGCTATTTGTATTTCTTCTATAAATGAGCTATTCAAAACAGCACCATGACTTTCGCCATACAGAGTTTTACAATTCTCTTTTATCCTCACCCAAGGACATTTTTCATTGCTTTTAGAGAGAGAAAAGGGGAGGGAAGGGAGAGAGGGAAACATCAACGTGAGAGAGAAACATTGACTGGTTGCCTCCTATATGCGCCCAGAGTGGGGACTGAACCTGCACCCTAGGTATGGGCCCTGACTGACTCAAACCGACCAACTTTCAGTTACAGGACAACACTGCAACCAAGCCACACCGGCCAGGGCCAAAGTTTTACTTTTTTCTGTTGAGCACTTTATCAGTTTTCTTTTTGCCTTCCAAAGTTTAGATGAATGTTTTCCCAGTCTTTAGAATTTTTTTTATACAGTTTTATTTTAGTATATGGTGGGAAACAGGGCTCTAACTTTATTTTCTTCCAAATTCATAGTCAGTTGTTCTGGTAGCATTTACTGAATAATTCCTTCCACAACTGGCGTAAGACTTCATTATATATCAAATTTTCATATACAGATACAAGTATCATGGATATATGGTATTATGGTACACACACACACACACACACACACACACACACAGATGGCTGTTTTAGACTCGGTTCTTCTCCATCAGTTTGTTTAGTCTGGGTAACACAGTGGAGCTTGGTCAAAAAAATAAAAAAAAGCTCACCTGTCCTTCTTCATCAAAAGCCATGATGACCACAGCAGCACCAAACTTCTTGATCCTCCTGGCCTTCTCCAGGAAGTCCTCCTCCCCCTCCTTCAGGCTGATGCTATTGACGATGCACTTGCCCTGGCAGCACTTCAGGCCGGCTTCAATCACGGTGAAATTGGAAGAGTCGATGCACAAGGGCACCTGAGATCGCAAGGGCAGAAAACCATAGAAGGATGACAAGTCACCACCAATTCCTGTCTGAAGACTCCCAAACAGTCCCCATTTCTTCTGCAGGAGGACAATAAACAAATGATAGTGTCACAGAGATAGGACTTGAATGGACCTGTTCTTAAAGCCCAAAATGCTTGAAGTTATTCCGGTCTTACACGAGACCACATGCATGGAGCGCCTGAAGTTTCTAACTCAAAGATCACAGCCAGACATCAGAATGGAATCCCAGAGGCCAGCTCACCGGCTCCGGTGTCCATTCCTACCCACAAGCACCTCTACTGTGAGGCCAGCCCCTCACTCGGATTCCCATATCCCCGATCTGACTCGGGATTAATGTGTAGTCTCATGCCCTTGGGGACAACCCTCCAGCCACGTTATTAAAATTCAATCTTCCCTCTGAAAAATCAAGTTCCTGACTAGAAAAAAAAAGTAGATGTAATATTCAACCCATGCATATAACTAAAGGACAAAATCGGAATGCACAATGAGAACAGGTCCGTTACTCCCTGTGCATTCGGGCCTCTTATTCCAGGAAAGGTAGAGAACTTCAGAGAAGGACCAGGGCAGCTGATCATTCAATAAATGATTAAGCGACGACACGTTGTGTCCCATGCTGAATTCGGGACAATGGCTAGACAGGCCAGTCCCTGGCTCCCCTGAACTTATAAAAGTTAAATGTTTCAACAAATAATGACATAAAGTGCAAAAATTGCTACAGCACAGGCCACTATGAAAGCACATGTATGACACACTCCTGTGTGTCACACTCCTGCGTGTCATACGCAGGGGAAGGGAGATTCAGGAAAAGGGTCCCAGGGCAGGTGGCTCATCCTTACGGGGAACAAAACAGAACAAGGAATTCATGCATTGAGCTCCTTCCTGGCATACTAGTAATGACAGGTGTGCTAGGAAAAGGGTCAACGCAATAATGATAACAGGCCAATGTTTTAAAGCACTTGCTGGCCATTTGGTGTGCAGACCTTGCGGGTCTTATGTTTTTATAGCATACCCCAATTGTTCAAACTTTGGTCCCAAATAAATTTTAGTAGGTCAAAATCAGAAAAGATGAAGAAAGAAAAATCTTTGTAGTAATCAGACACTAATTAATTAATAATGCCTTAAGTTCCTTGGGATCCCTTACAGTTAACAAGGCATTTTATTTTTGCAGCTCGTAAGTCAGACAAAGCCAGTATGATTGTGCCCCTTTCAGAGATGAGAAAGGAAACTTAGGGTCTGTGGATGAAAAGGGGGTTCTCTGGAAAGTAGCCTCACGGGGTGATCCTATCATAAATTCCAAACTGAACAGGTCACAGTGGTAGTCACACCACAAGCATATAACTTCTTTAGCAAAAGCTTATCTTTGCCTTGAGCAAACCCTGTGCATCCAAATTAACACACCTTTGGAATAACCACACTCAAGAGCACATAACCCTATTAACTATCCTGTAATCCAATCCTCGACCTGCTTTCTCCTGCCTCCATGTAATCGCCCTTACACTCCCTCCTTATATTGAAATGCACAAAAGAAACTGCAAACTGTTATTCTCTGGAGCAGTTGACACCTTGCTCCCCAGCATAAGTGCTCAGTTTGGCTCAGTAAGGTCATAAAAATTCTCTACAGTTTGGTCATTTCTTACATTGTTCTTACAGGGACAGATCACTGACTGAGGTGAGGGGGCTACAAGGTGGGTCTTCCGGCTCCCAGCACAGCCCGCTTCCTGCTGTTCAGATGGTAAACAACTGCTCTGACTTTGAGCAAGATCATGTAATTGCTCTGCACCTTACATAATCAAAATATTTAATCCCACAAGACAGATAAGGCTTCTTTTTCAATTTTCAAAGAGAAAAAGAGGAAGGGGGCAGAGAGAGAGATCAATTTGTTGCCCCACTTATTTATGCATTCATTGGTCAATTCTTGTATGTACCCTGACCAGGGATCAAACCCGCAACCTTGGCATGTTGGGATGATGCTCTACCCAACTGAGCTATGTGTCCAGGGCCATTATAAGGCTTCTTAATGAGGAGTTTTAAGACAAAAGTGAAGGAAGGAAGGAAGGATTCATGTAATTCACTGACTACTACAAAGACGTCCAACTTAAGCATTTGCTGAAACCTCTTAAGAAAACTGATAGCCCTATTCTAACACACTGGTGATGGCGGCTCAAATGTTGGAAAATTTTGTTTCAGCTAATAGCTAATAAGCTTAGTGATCAGTGTATGGAAAAATCTATTGTCTCAGGAACTGACCCCAGGAGACCACGAGCAGTTCCACCTGTGGGTCTCAGGAGGGCGGAGAGCAATCAAGAGGGTGTCTGAGCCGCTGTGCTCCAGGGTGAGACGCCCAGCCCTCGGCCCAGGACAGGAATGAAAGAATGCTGCGGCTTTTTATCTGATTAACTTTCCCCTGAATTCCAATCCCCTTACCTATACTTGTCTTCTCCTTATGAAAAGGGTCAGTTGAAAATGAAATTTAAGACAGTTTGTTAGGTTTCAAACCCATCGTCTTCTCAGATCGCCGGCCATCTGAATAAAGCGCCCACAAAGATTCAATCCCCATCTCTGCTTATTGCATCTGGTAGGTAATGGGCAGCATGAATGCCAGCTTTTCTGGTTTCAATAGGAGATTTCTTTTAAAAAAGAACTTGAAAAATCACTCCTCATCTCAAATTCAATGGTAGAAAGATAAAGTGAGATTTTTAAAGGTTTTAAAATCCATCTAAAATTTTTTAAAAGACTGCCCTGACAAGTGTGGCTCAGTTGGTTGGGCGTCATTTCACATAGCAAGAGGTCGCCGGGTGAATTCCGGGTCAGGGCACATGCCTTGGTTGCCGGTTCTGTGCCAGTGGGCACACATATGAGAAGTAAGCAATCAACATTTCTTCCTCTTTCTCCATCCCTTTCCCACTTTATAAAAATAAATGAATAAAATTTAATAAAATAACAAAAATTTTTTAAAAGACACAAAAATTAATTTTCATCTTTTAAAGAGCAAATGTAAAAGCTGACAAAATACCTTGATTTAATCTTGTTTTGTGACTTCGTTTTACTGTGATAAACCTACAAAGGTCTCTCCTTCCCATGATAAGGAAGAATTGGCTGAGCTCCCTTATCTACTGCAGGAATGGAACTAATGATGTTGTAGGAAGGGTAAGAATATACTTCAGAGACACGAAAAGTGGGCTCCTAGTCTATCCAGACATCAAAGCAGACTAACAATTCTTGTGAGCAATTCCAGAAGCCTTGGAAAGAGCCAAGCTGAAGTCACAGCTCTCTCAGAAGTCTGGTTTTTACCATAAGGCTAACATTAAGCAAGACAACAAACAATCAAAAACCACTGGGCTTTTAACATAGGAAAACAGAAAACCAGTGTATGAGACAACAGATCAATGGGACAAATGACAAAGTTAAATGAATGACAGCATGACACGCAAATTCCTTTGATGAATAACAATTTTGTACAACCTTGGCAATGTCAGGCTCAGAAGCGATGAGGTTGCAAAATCTGGTCATTGCACTTGGACCATCTAGCATGCCATCGTCCATGTTGATGTCCAACACCTGGGCTCCCATTTCCACCTGCTGTTTGGCAACACTCAGTGCTTCCTGAGGAAAGAATGCAAGAGAAAGCAGCATGAGTACAGGGTGGGGCAGGGGAAGCCAACAAAGTAATCCCTTGCTGTCCTGAGAGCAGTCCTTTTGAATTATACTTGACTCACTGGCCAGCCTCCCGGACTCTGGGCCTGCTCTCCTCCTATCCATCACCACAGATTATCCTTAAATATCTCTCCTCCCATCACATCATTTCACTACCCAGAATTCACCAGGGCTGCTTTCCTGCCATAAAGAATCTAAACTCCTCAGCCTGGAGTTCGGACCCCTGTGACTTGGCCCTAACTTCTTACTTCCCCAGACAGGTCCATCTCCACCTCCGTGTCACAGGTCACGTTGTCCCTTCTGCTGGAAACACAAGCCCCTTCCCATCTATATTGTCAAGCCCCATCTCTAAGAATGTGCTAAGAGAAACCATCCAAAACGTACATAACTCTTCAGTGTTTGTCAAAACATGCAGACCATTTGTTGCAGGCTGTTGATAGAAGTTACATGAAATATGAGTTAAATGCCAGCCAGTTTTTATATTGGAAGACTGTTCAAATCCTTTAACATACTATTATATACTATAAGTCTCCAAGAACAGAATGAACTTGCAGCATTTCCCACTATAATCGCTTTAGGAATGTCTTGCAGAATCAGTATTCTGGAGAATATTCTTGGGGAAACACTGCTTATTCCACAATGACCTGCTGCCTCTAAACCTCTGTAACGATTATAATCATGATCACATGGTTTACTAATGACCATTTCCTTGTTGTTTCATAAGTTATTAGCTTATTCCTCAAAGCAGACTTTAAGTATTTGGAAATCTAAAGGTCTTAGGTGTTTCCCACTCTTCGAACAATGCTGGGCAAAACAACACGTTCAATAATGCTTTCTAACTGACTGATAAAACACACAACTTAATTTTCTAAGTCTTCACTGTACACTTCATAGTGTGATAATTTTTTTCTTAGCCAAAGTAAACCAAACAGAAATGTTTAGCAATCACTGTGATAGAACAGGCATGAGACCCTTCAGCAAATGCCACAAAAAAGACCATTCAAAACGACCCACAATTACACAGAGCAAAGGGATCACAATAAAATTTAGCACATCAATTAATAAAACAAATAAAAACATGATCAATAGAAGTAGAAAAATCATGTGATAAGATATATCTATTTATGATTAAAACACTGAATAAAACAGGTATGGAAGGAAAGTACCTCCATATACTAAAAACCATGTACAACAAACCCTCAGCCAATGGTGCAAAACTGAAAGCTTTGACTCAAAAATCAGGAAAAACACAAGGAGGCCCACTCTTACCACTCTTATTCAACACAGCTCTGGAAGTCCTAGCCAGAGCAATCGGGCAATAAAAAGAAATAAAAGGCATCCAAATTGAAAATGAAGTGTCATTTTTGCAGATGACATGATTCTATATATAGAAAACCCTAAAGACCTATTGGAAAAACCTATTGGAAATAATAAACAAATACAGTAAAGTTGCAGGACACAAAATCAATATACAAAACCCACTGCTTTCCTATATACTAACAATGTAACTTCAGAAAAAGAAATAAAAAAAAATTCCTTTTGCAATTGCAACCAAAAGGATAAAATATCCAGGAATAAACTTAACAAAGGATGTGAAGGACCTATATACAGAAAACTACAAAGCATTCTTAAAAGAGAGTGAAAAAGACATAATGAAATAAAGATATTCCGTGTTCATGGACTGGAAAAATCAACATAGTTAAAATGGCCATATTACCCAAAGCAATATACAAGATTTAATGCAATCCCCATCAAAGTTCCTATGCCATTTTTCTTAAAAGAAACAGAACAAAAAAGTAACAGATTTTTATGGACCCACAAAAGACCCCAAATAGCCAAAGCAATCCTGAGGAAAAGGAACAAAGCCAGGTGAATCAAACTACCTGATTTGAAAATCAGAAAAGCAGAAACACAGACTAATGGGACAGAATTGAGAACCAACAAGTAAAATCACATGTATATGGGGCAAATAATTTTTGACAAAGGAGCCAAAAACACACAATGGAGAAAGAAAGCCTCTTAAATGAATGGTTCTGGGAAAACTGGAAAACCATACACAAAAGAATGGAACTAGATTCAGTTTGTCCCCACATACAAAAATTAATTCAAAATGGATCAAAATCCTACATATAAGATCTAAAACAACAAAGTACATCAAAGGAAACATAGGTACTAAACTTATGAACCTTGGTCTTAGAGAATATTTTATGAATTTGACTCCAAAGGCAAGGAAAGTAAAGGAAAAGATAAATGAATGGGACTATATCAAACTAAAAAGCTTCTGCACAGCAAAAGAAACCAGCAATAAAACAAAAAGGGAGATATTTGCAAATAACATCTCCAACAAGAGGTTAATAACCAAAATATATAAAGAACGCACAAAATTCAACACCAAACAACCAAACACTCCAATTAAAAAACAGGTCGAGGACCTACACAGACACCTCTCCCAAGAAGACATACAAATGGCCAACAGATAGATGAAAAGACGTCCAACATCACTAGTTATTAGAAAAATGCAAATCAAACTACAATGAGACACCACCTCACATCTGTTAGAATGGCTAGTATCAACAAGACAGGTAATAAGTGCTGGAGAGGTTGTGGAGAGAAAGAAACCCTCATTCACTGCTGGTGGGAATGTACACTGATACCGCCACTATGGAAAATGTGTGGTGGTTCCTTGAAAAATAGAGTTACCATATGACCCAGGAATCCCCCCATCTGGGTATCTGCTTGAAAACATTTATTTGCAAAGATACATGCACCATAACTATGTTCACTGCAGCATTATTTATTCATGGCAGTCAGGACATGGAGACAGCCAAAGTGTCCTTTGATAGAGGACTGGATAAAGAAGATGTGGCACATATAAACAATGAAATCCTGTTCACTCATAAGAAAAGTGAAATACTGCTGTTTGTGACAACATGGATGGACCTTGAGAATATTACGCTAAGCGAAATAAGTCAGAAAAAGCTAAGAACCATAGGTTTTCATTCATATGTGGGATGTAAAACTGAAACTCATAGACACAGACAACAGTGTGGTGGACACCAGAGGGAAGGGGCAGAGGGGCAGTAAAGGGTAAAGAGGGTCAAACATGGGGTGACAGAAGACGATCTGACTTGGGGTGGGGGGCACACAGCGCAGTGTACAGATGATGTCAGAGGAATGTACACTTGAAGCCTATATGACCTTATTAACCAATGTCGCCCCACTAAGTTTAATAAAAAAGCTGAATAAATAAATAAAAAATAGCATATCAAAAAGTTTTGAGAATCAGCAATGTATTAAATTCAGTAAAGGATAAAAAGACGTGTAAGTCACAATCCTTGTTTTTAAAGGCCATACACCTTGTTGAAGGCATATGACACAGTCATATATACAAAACTACCGGGGCTGCTGCAGAGTGAGAGTCACATGCCGAGACGGCCTGGACACCGGGAAGGGGAAGTGTCTGTGGACTGGGATGGAGAGAGCTCCCTGAGGGAGGACCTTCGGCGGGGGCCTGGGAGGCGGACTGGAGAATGCAGAGAGAAGATGGCAAGCGACCTGGTTGGAACAGAAGTCAAACGACCTGGAAAAAAGACATGCCAATACCCGCCCTTTCTATTTCATGAGAGTCACAGAATAACAGCTTGTAGGTCCAATCTTCCCAAATCTGCTCAGAGAGACAAAGTGATTTCTTGAAGATGTACAAATTGGGCAAAAAGGATTGGATGTTTTCTGAGACCAACGCTCTTTGATCCTCAATAGATCACCAACTCATGGAGCACTCCAAGCAAATGAGGGCCCACTCCTGCCTCCCCCTCTGCGTCATCCAGGCAGGGAAGAGTGGTTAGGGGCTGGGCTGGATGGACTTGGGTCTATCGTCACTTGCTGTGAAACAACAGTCTGCAACTGCACATCCGTAAAATGAGGATAGCAACAATACTTACCTCATAGGTCTGTGAAGATTAAATGAGTAATGTGGCAAAGCACTTAGCACAGTGACTGGCATAGAGTAAGACCGTGTTCAACAACAGGTATTACTCCCTTCTCTGTTTTTCCCTAAAATGCCCTCTGTTCTCTGTATCAAAGCTATCAAGACTGAAAGCTAAAAGGGACACCAGAGAATGGTCACCAAATCAAAACAGAAACAGAAACACTGCCGGCTGAAGAACATCCCACACCATGAAGGGTCACTAGGATTCAGAAGGGAACAAACACGGACAAGCCTCCCGGAACGTTCAGGTGGCAGACAGGAAGGGAAGGCAGCGTGGCGCCCAAGTGGAGAGGACTGAATAACGACATACAGCGTGTGTCACCGGTGGAAGCTGCTGCACTGGGAAGGACGTGACAAAAGCACGCGTGGCAGGAGCAGCAGCGGGGAGGAATGGAAGAGGACTGACGGAACTGTCCGAGCCAGGTGCGCAGGCCCTACCTATGCGCTGCAGAGGGAGCCACAGAGGAGTAACCAGCGGGTCCAGAAAGGATTATAAATGGGCCCTTTATGATTAAAACAAAGTCCACTGTGATAGTGGTTTCTGGAAGATCTATTTCCTAAAGACTGCAAAACCTTCAAGTGAGAGAAGTTTGATGATAAATCAGTAAAGCCCAGACCAAATTCCTCCATTTTTAACTTTTTGTTTGCCTAAGTGAAAAAAAAAAACACCTTTACCAGAGTTTTAGGGTGGGTTCTATTTGGATTACATTTTGCTCATCTACAGAACGATCGAGCTTAGAAATACCATTCACTAAACGACCACGTGAACTTCCCAAAAAAAGGGCCTATCCTTTCTTTTGTGTTTGCATATTTACGTCAGTCTACAGCTAACAGAACCAATACCACATTAGTCACTGCTTCACGTGGTCATGAGGACTTGAAATTTTCTTGGCTTTCCCCTTCCCTGATTTGCGAGGATTTGCGAGAAGCCCAAATGAAGTGCATTCTCAAATTTTAAAATCTACTTCCCAGTGAACAGAAATAGCTGGACCCCAGATCCCTCCCATCGCACCCCACTTCCCAGCCCACATGCAGCACTCTGACAAACAGTGACAAGAGCGCTTGAATCTGGCGAAGATGCAGCCTCCCTCCAGCCCACTGCAAACACACATCACATTCCTCCTCACACCTGCCAGCAGCTCTGCTAATAACCGACCAAAGGCTGCCGAAGAGCTGCTTTGTTTACATGCTGTCTAGCAAAAAAAAACCACGGCAGATGCCTCAAGGGTCGTATTGAGATACTCACTTCATAGGCTCCTGCCATGATGAGTTTAGCAAACTTCTTGGATCCTGCCACGTTACAGCGTTCTCCAATGTTAACAAAGTTGGTGTAGGGTCCAATCCTGAAGGGCTCTAGACCTTAAAAGGAGAAGCACTTTGAAAGATTTCTGAAAATGCACATGGTGACATATTGCAGACAGAATGCAAATGTACTCCTAAGCAAGCGAAGGAGTTTCTGTGCCACAGCCCATCTGACGAGACCGGAGAGGCGATGCGGAGACAGGACCAGCACCTTCTTCCCTGAGGAGACTGAAAACAACATGCAATATAAAGTGTCACTACAGAAAAGGCCGTTAACTGCTTTGTTCTATGCGTTATATTTAACGTAGCGGGAGGGGGAATCTCGCTGGGTGGTTACTGGCAGGATCTGGGGACAGCGAGCCTCGGGTTCAAGCCCTTCCGGCCATCTCAGTGAACTCGGCGACTTCTCACAGCCTCTGAGCATCAGAAAAAATAGACAGTGAAAGTACTTGTCCTATAATGTAACTGTAGAAATGAGACTAGATATGTTAACAAACATAAAATCAGCACCAGCAATCATAGATGTGGTTAATAAAACAAAATGACTTTTGAATCCCTCGCCAAGGCACTGGTTGAGGAAGAGACAGAGATAAAGGAGAGGAAAATAATGAGTACAGATGGGTGTTTGTTCACCAACTGGGGAGACCATTTCTTCCCAATTGGGCCTGTGATTTCACTTTCCCATGGTAGTATAGCTGTGGACAAAAAAGGAGCTATATACTAACCTGGCAAGCTCAGGGGAGGCCTGTGTGGTGGCCTCACAAACTCAGAGACCAAAAGGAACCACACAGGGTGGTCTGAAATTAAAATTTCTTAACCAAAAGTAAGTCATGGTGGGTAGTCTTGTCCTAGGCCGCTATCTTCCCTGACAAAGGTCAGTCTTTACCTTAACTGAGCCTGTCTATTGTCTTTTTGCATCTACGACAACACACCTTTGGGATGTCTGAGTAATCCCTTTTTCCAGACTCCTCAGAGCACAATCTCTCACCGGAGCACAAGACCACTGGAACCCCTCGCTGTTATCCTGTTCCCCCACACAGCACTCCTGTGTGCTATAAATACTAACTGTGAACTATCCTAGGCCCACCAATGTAGGGGAAGTACTTGTCTCTTCACTTTACTCTGTCCAATCCCACACATTTCCCTGTTTTGCTTTCTCGTCTCCCTAATCTATCACTGATGGATTTGATGTAACCCTCCTTATGCCTGCTCCTTTGACCGTAATGCATAAAAAAAGGTGCAAAACTGCCATTCTCTACACCATAATCTCAATCCATTGAGATGTTGCTTCCCAGCAATTGTCGTCAGTTTGGCTCAAATAAACTCATAAAAATGCTTACAAGTTTGACATGACCCTATGGCCTCGGCCCCACCCCACCCCCAGGCCCTGCCAGCCTCAAGGTGTCCCTGACCCCTAGGCAGGCCTTGAGGTCCAAGGGGCAGGCAAGCAGGGGCAGCACATCTAAGTGCTGAAGAGAGACCCTGCATCACTGCTCCGAAAGCATTCCATACTGGAGCACTTCTGATCTACTACGAATGCCAAGTTGCTGAGCTAAAAACTACATGTTCCACAGGTATGCCATGTATAAAATAATAATTTAAAAGGGTATGTTTGCTATCATTCTTTTAAAATCTAATTAAAATCCCTGACCAGTGTGGCTCAGTCAGTTGGGCATCATCCTGCAAAGCAAAAGATCCCTAGTTTGATCCCCAAAAAGGACTCGTACAAGAAGCAACCAATCGATATTTCTTTCCCTCTCTTTCTTTCGCCCTTCCCCTCTCTAAAAATAAATCAATAAAATCTTTAAAATATTTCATTAAAGATGATTTTTAAAGCAATTTAGAGATAGCATAAGAAATTCAAATCAGGAAAAAGGGTTCTTTCATTCTTACACATAAATTCTTTGAAAAATTGTATCTAAATGGTTCTCTTCCTGTTTCAACTTTGATAAAGATTGATAAATTTGTTACTAGTTGGATAAAGTCAATTAATAGCTGTAAAATCCGAGGATGAAATAAACTACAGTACCACACCTCTCTCTGACAAAAGCCACATGGGGGCGGCACAAAGCCCCCCTCCTCGAACCTCGTCCTGTCTTTGGAGCGTAAGGAGGAAAAGCGGCAGCCTGAGAAGGCCTGGTGTGCACCCAGCCTCAGGCACTCGCGGGGGCTTGTTCTGTGCGGCGCCTTCTGAGAAAGTGGATGTGACGGCCGCTGGCACTCGTCCTGCATTTCACTCTTCTTTGAAGAACATAAAGAACAAAACTATCTCAATTTAGAGGAATGTTCAATCTACATTATCAGGGTGCATAATTCCCCACGTGTACAATCTGCAGGTTCTCCAAGAATCTATTTACACATTTTTTTTTTTACTTAAAGATACTATCTAAGTAGGTCATTCAAGTATTGTGGGGAAAATTTTAAAGTTATTTTCTAATAGTTGGCATAATGAGCTATTTTACCAATGTTCCTTAAGTGAACATCGAAACTCACTCTGAAAAGGGAGGCTGCCTACCTCATAGGATTGCTGAGGGCAAAACAGCAAAATAAACACCACGACTCTTTGTAAAGTCTTGAACACATGACAAATATGAGACCATGACAATAGTTTAGAAACAAACAAAATTTTCTAGGAAGTGGCTGTGGTCGTTACAAAACATTGAACCTTGGCAGTTTGAAATTTTCTGTAACTACCATGTTTTGTCATGTACAATGTGCACTTTTTGCCCAAATTTTTGAGGGAAAAATAAGGGTGCACATTATACATGGGTGTAATGATTACACACCATGGGTAAAATAATCCCATGGATAACGTGCACAAAAAACGTGGCTATGCATTATACACGGGATCACACTATACACGGCAAACTATGGGGTAGCAGCAAATCTGATGATGAGAACTGTTAGGCTGTGGACAAGGGTATGCTTTCAAAGTGGTGCTCATTTAGAAATGGGACCATGTGAGTTCTAATTCTAACCAAGGACACCTGGGCAAATCAGGCGCTTTCATTCACATTTCCCTGGGAGTTAATGTCATCCCTACAAAAACAAAGGGTTCTTCACTAGATTCACTTTCGTGCCAATAAACACTCTTCTTTGATGCAATAAACAAGTAGTTGGCAGAGACATCACTACCACTTAAGACAAACATACAAAATTAATCCACAAGTGGTTCCTGAAATCCTACAAACCGTGTATTGATGACGTACCAGACAACAACATATGCCTTTCATAAACAGTGGCAGGTGGAACTCGAGGCTTGGAGTTTTTCACAGCTTTAGCAATTTCCCTGAGTTAAAAGAGAAAACAGTGTGTCCATTAATTCTGAATAGAATAAACTTAAACTAATTTCTAGCTATGAAATTAAGTCTAAGACAATTATGCACATAATTATATACCTAGTTCCAAATGTGCAGCCACAATTACTCCTCCCAGTTTTCTTAGTAATGCCAAAACTGAATCCCTAAACCTAGCTTTTCTGCACCTGCCCACCGTGCCGTGCGTGACTGAACCAGTTTCTATGTTCACTCCGACATGTGAACCTAGAGATGGAGAACAGTTTGCATAAACGCAAACGGCACATCTCCTCTTCCCATTCCAGACCCCGAGATGTCCTTTACTTCATCAAATTTGCACGAGCTACGTCCTTGCTGCTCATTCAAGTAGTTTGAAAGAAAAAAGGCTTCATCACTGAGAAGGAGGCACGAACAAGGGAGATGCCAGGATTGAAGGAAATTAAATCCTTTAGATCTATTTTTTCCAATCACAGTGTGCACAGAGCAGGGAGGGTACACAGAAATACATCTCTAAAACTTCAAAATAATTACTCCTAAAAATGTATTTAAGTTATTCATACTCCCTTTAACCTTATCAGCTTTAATAGATTATGTCTTTGATCGACCTGGAAAAATCTGGCTATTTATATATTAGGATATACACAGATGTGCACACACATGCACAGGTAAGACTGATAGGCAAGGATATATAAATATATCTATGTGTATATTAATATTAACACACACTTAGTTTTAAAACAACTTTTTAAAAAGGGATAACCTTAAAAATAAAGACACCCAAGGATAAGCTATTCTCAACTATTGATAGCTTTCAAGAGACTATTTAAAAGATGTTTAAAAAATGAGATAGACTCAACAGAATGTATCACACAAGTCAACAAATCAGTTAAATAGTAGGTAACTCAAAACAGGGAATGTATCGTACACAACAGACTCAGAACAGTGAGATAACTGGCTCAAAATATGACCACCAGTCCCTCTAGGGAAAAACCAAACACACAGTTGTAAATATGTTCAATTCTACTGGATTCCAATCCTCAAAACTGCAAGGACCTACCCAACCTCACCAGGCTCCAGTTTCACACCCCCTTACTCCTGCCTCATTCGACAAAATGGACTGAGTGACAACGTGTGCTGGGCAGGCAGAGACACTTCTCCTGACCCCGAGGTATGTGCGGTCTTACTGTCTCTTTCCTCCTTCACGAGAGAATCTCATGGAGACATGTCACAGCCCACAAGAAATAGGAGCTGTCCCTTCCTGAGCCTTCGTACACTGGTCAGGTACTTACGGATAGAATATTATTACACTGGGGATCTGCTTTACAATAGTCTAGGGCAGCGATCTTCAGCCCGCGCGCCACAGCAGGCACACAGGTGCACTGCAGCAATGTCTACAGCCTGCACTACCTGACTGCTTAGTCTAAAGCACTGACCTCTCTTCCCACAGATTGTCAAATAAAAAACAGCAACAGCCAACACAACAACAGCCTTCCGGTATGAATGGATCAAATTATACCTATTTTTTGTCATATCAGCTAAAAGTATATTTTTTGGTGTGCTGTAGAATTCTAGTAATTAGTTTATGTGTGCCATGAGATGAAAAAGTTTGAAAATCACTGGTCTAAGGGGGAAAAAGTTGGAGAATAAGTTAAACAAGAACAGCAAATGTTAAAAATTATGAGAAGTATGTGATAGGCACATGAGCATTCATTTCATTTTTGGAATCTTTATAATACAAAGGTTTCACAGATTGCTAGGGCTGCCATAAGGAAATACCACAGACTGAATACAGTTGTTTAAATAGCAGAAATTTATGTCTCAAAGTTCTGGAGGCTACACGTCTGAGAACGAGATGTCAACAGGGCTGCTCTCTCCTTGGCTTCTTTGCTCCCTGTGCTTTCACATGGCTCCTTCTTCTGTGTGCGTCTGTGTCTTACCTCCTCCTCCTCTTATAGGGACACTAGTCATGCTGGATTAGGGTCTCCTCACATGGCTTCACCTTACCTTATTACTTCTCTAAAGTCCCCATCTCCACGTACAGCCCATTTGGGAGTCTTGGAGTTAGGACTTCAAAATATGAATTTGGGGAGGACACAATTCATCCCCATAACAGAAGGTAAAGTACTGAGAAGTGATTATTACCTGATATGATCTGGTGTCGTGCCACAGCATCCACCAACGATATTGACCAAACCATCTATGGCAAAGTCCTGCATTTAGGAAAAGAAAGTTCCAGGTAGTTTACCTGAATTCTAAACTTACCACTAGCCACTCAGCAGAAAAAAAAAATCCTACATTTCTTGAATAAATAATTTTATATTAAAAAGAGAGCTAAACACACTTTATATACAAATCTTTTAATGCCCCCCCATAACATTCAAACAGTTCAGATACTGTGAAATCCTTTATACCATTTAAAATTAAATAAGAGCCCAACCAGTGTGGCTCAGTGGGTTGGGCATCATCCTGCAAACCAAAAGTTTGCTGGTTCAATTGCCGGTCAGGGCACATGCCTGAGCTGCAGGCCAGGTCCCCTGTTGGGGGCGTGCCAGAGGCAACCAACTGATGTTTCTCTTGCACATGGACATTTCTCTCCCTTTCTTTCTCCCTCCCTTCCTCTCTTTCTAAAAATAAATACACAAAATCTTGTAAAAAATTAAAAACAATAAAATGTATTATAATAAGATATTTGTTAGCTTATTTAATCATAATCAAGATTTTAGCCTATATGCTAAGCTGAATAAGTATGAACTGAATACTTATTCATGCATTTGTGTTATTTAATGCATTTTTAAATAACACAAAGTTTTTAAATTTAAATTAATTAACAATTTTAAAGAATTAAAAATTCAGTTCCTCAGTCACAATAGCCACATTTCAAGTGCTCCAATAACCAGCCCCATGTGGACCCAGAGTTCAACCACAGGCTAGTCTGAAGGACAAGAGAGGAAGTCAAGCAACTGAGAAGGCGGAACACTGAAAAGAGGATCTATATAAGGCACTGAAATTATAAGGAGTAAGTCAGAAATAGTTCAGGAGAGAGTGTCAGTGAGCCAGAAGCTACACATTCAAGGAGGGAGGGAGAAAGATTTGGGGATTAGTAATAAGGAGACAAGGTGGGTGGCATAGGCAGCAGGTGACTGGGGAGGAGTATGGGGGAGATGATAATGGGAAACAAAGAGTCTGGGGGCTGCAGGACAGCCAAGTTTCTATTGGTTTCAGTGGGACCTCACTGGGGATTTTCCGATAGCCACCAGTTCCAAACGGGGAAAAGGCTGCTGACAGCTAGCCTTTCCCCTTACCTCCACCATCTTAAATCAGCATAACTGAACTTTTTTATTCATGATATGCACACTGGGATCCATTTAGAAAAAAATTCTGCCTCCGAATAGTCTAAATCTGAAATTTCATTTCTCTATCTCTTAAAAACCAAGTGAGAGAGGACTCCTGACCTTTAAGTGCATGGCCATCATATGTGGAGTTTCATCGTAGTCACCGAAGGCGTTGGGAAGACCTAAGATAGCACATGGCAACCGTCACTGGAGACGGCTTTAACAAACACACACAGCACGGCGGTACCTCGGTACTTGTCTCTAATTTGCTCAGGAACTCGTGCTGAGTGCCGAGCAAGGGACGAGTGATGAAGTATGCTCTCTGGTGGGGCAGCATCGTGACCCACACAAGTTCTAGCACATGACACGAGTCCTGAGCAAGTGCCCAGTGCCGAAACATTTCTTCTCATCAAAATGCAACAAGTGCAGGGTTCGACAAGTTCTGAGGCCGAAAGCACCGAGGTATGACTGCATTTGTAATGGCTTTACGAAAGTTAGGAAATTTTATATTGACCAATTAATGTGTATTACAATTACATACTTGCAAAAATAAATAATGATTGTTAATACGAAACACAGTATATAAAGACACCACACCAAAAAAGAAGTCATAGAAGAATATCAACATCCACTATTTCCTTTCCATTGGAAAGAAAAGCATCACTACAATGTTGGACAGAACCTCCCATTCCTCTCCCCTTCCCACAAAGAAAATTCATCGTTACGCAGCTACCTGAGGTGGGTTTGGGCGAGTACTTCACCCTTCAAACTAATGAGCACCTGATATGCAATTAACACCAAACACAACCAGTGTCTTTCCAAATAAATTTTTCCAGGCTAAGACTTTAGTATCTAGTTCCCCAATTCCCTGCTCTATTTCTTATCCTCTTCCAGTTACCTTGCTCTACATGGGAAATAGAATTTATTGTATGTTAAAATATATATACTTGGGGGAAAATGCTGGGAGATGATTTTTAGCTCTAAGTAGCTAAGCAGTGCTCAGAAACATTCACCAGGAAATCTGGTTGACCCACAATGAATTACCACTATTTAAATGGATAGTTTCAGAATTATCTACAAATCTCTTGGCAGTTTTTATATATAGTAAACTAGAGGTCCTAACTTTGTGGGAGGAAAAAGGTAAAGAGACACAAGTCCTGTCTGCTCTTTGTGAATAGAGTGAAATGAAGAGGGCTCCCCCCCATTCTCTGCACTTGTCACTCTGGCCACCAGCCGCATGGCAGGTAAGCACTGTGGACAGAAGCAAGGCACTGGGGACTAGGCTTCATTCCTCAAAGTTCTGTCCAATTCTGAAGCTTTGAGTCTCAACCCCTGAGCCCAACTGTTCCTTCTAGTCTAAAGGGAAATAGTGGTCTACACCCAAACACTTTCCATTTAGAAAATTCCTGTTGAGTGTTAACTATACACCAAGATCTACAAAACAAACTCTTTTATCAAGATCTGTTACCCCATCCACCCATGTCTGTGTATTTGGATTCCCCCATGCACAGCTCCCTCGAAATACACACCTGCATTGGGATAGCAAAGGACAAAGGCTGTTGTGCATTTTCCAATTGCTTCAATGTAAGGTCTCATTTCAGCTGCACCCAGAGCACAGTTTAATCCAATGCTGGAAAAACGAAAGGAAGATATTGGGACATTCTCTTTTATTCAAAATGTTTACACATATAAGAAGCTGTAACAGAAGAATATATCTAAAACCAAACCGATAATAAGTCTCCTGACAAAGCACTTCTTTCTATGAAGCTCCAGTCAAAGCCATGTCACTCCAGGACCCTGCAGCACCGAGTACTCCTGTCCATGTCTCCAACGTCAGATATCTTATGGCTAAAGGACCCTGCCCATGAATAAGTTCACAGTTTGGTTAATGGCATCCTGTACAACAGAATTGCCTGCAAACCACCACTGCTAACAAGCATCTGAGTTGAAAGCAATACTTGGGAGAAAGGACAAGGGAAATCCTGGATGTGGAAGGAGCATCATTAGCACGTGGAAGCCATTCTGGGAGGCTAGACAATCAAGATTTGGTCTTTGCTCAGTAACTGAACTTGCAAGGTGACCCAGGACTCAAAATCTATCCTCTCGTAAGTTAAGCTGCCTTCTTTCTCCACAAAACCCAGGGGCTCTCTGTTTAGCAGATGGAACTGACTCAGATAAAACAGATCAAAGAGAGCTCCTCTGTCTGCAGAGTGGAGGGCCTGAAACCCGTCCAAAACCGACCTCTGTGGGGACCCCTGAGGCCTGCAGGAATCAGGAATCAACTGTGAAGCTACTGGACCCTGTCATCTCTTCATTTTTATACAGGGCAGAGCAAAAGTAGGTTTATAGTTGTTTGTATGGAAAATAATATAATAATTAATAAATGATAAGAATACACTGTTTCACATACTTACAACTTATTATCTATTAATTATTGCATTATTTTCCATACAAACAACTGTAAACCTACTTTTGCCCCACCCTGTATTTTACTTTTTTCTTTTACTAGGATTCTTAAGCGCAATGTGGTGGGGGAAAGAAAAAGAAAATGAAAGAAGGAATGTTCAAAATGTTTGAGAGAAGACAAAGAAAATGTAAAATGAACTACATAAAGCGTGTCTTCAGAGACCCCCACACAGTCCTATCTTTAGTTTTTCTGTTAAGTGTTTACTGCATCCCTACCATGCGCCAAGGACTCTAGCACGCACTACAGAAATACCCATCATTAAGAGATTACTCTTAAAAACCTCGTAAGTTGTTAAGGAGCCAGTCACAACCCAGTTCAATGCTGTTTTCTCAACGATCAGGCCTGATCAGTAGCATAATAACGCGTCCCACATTACGGCAGCTGTCACAAAGGCACGTTACCACACTACATCAAATAGATCTTCCCCGAAATTGTAAACATAAAAACATGAGAAAAAAAAATCACATAACTGATGAAATGTGGTACAACAAAGTGACTAAGAGCATGCCCCGTCCCTGTCCCCTATTTACTGATATTGAGCAAGTCACACCCCCTGAGTCTCAGTTCCCTTGTCATCGAAATGAGGCAGCACCTGCCCCCAGGTGGTGTTGGCAGAATTAAAAGAAGTAACTCTCATAAAGCACTTAGAACCAAGCCTGCCATACAGCAAACTCTCAATAGATGTCTATTACTGCTATCTTTATGACCAGGACTACAATAAAACGACACAGTGCTCTGAGAGGAACGCCAGCCTGGCTGGTGAGAGACGGCAGGTTCCCTGAAGAGGAGTCTTGAGATGAGTCTTAAAGGCTAACAAGGAGCCGAGAGAGACACACACACACAGAGAGAGAGAGAGAGAGAGAGAGAGACTGAAGAGGGTGAGCTCAGCTTCTAGGCAGAAGGAATACACAGCATGTTCATGGAGAAGGCACAGGAGAAAAACAGCATATTCTCTTGGAGCTTCCATTTCATTCACATTTTGATAAGAAAACATGAGGAGATGTGTTAAAATAGAATGGAAAAGTCAAGTTAATTTTAAAGATAAAAATACTGAGCTTTAAAATTCCCATCTTATCCCAAGCTAGACGGCTTCTGGTGGTTCCATAAATAGGGAATGAGAAAACTTTGTAAAGCATGGCAAAAAATGTAAGTGCTGACAACAGTTTTCAAATCTTACCACCGAACCAACAAGCACAGTCCTAAACTCGAAGGGGAACCCTTGCAGACGAAAAGTCAGCCATCTGGCTGGCCCCTCAGACCGACCCATTTAGGCAGGGGTCTTCCGCTGCCCTTAGGGGAAACTCCGAAGGCACATGCAGGACAGCCGGCATCCCGTGCAGGTGGGACAGTGCACATATGCACAGGCGACCCCTTCTCAAGTCATCAGGGAAGACCCCCAAAAAGCGGCGGAGTCGAGGGAAGAACGTTGACTCACCAGAGTGGGTCTGCGTGAGACACACTGATGACAAACGCCTCTCCTGTCTGTCCAGAAAGCGTCCGCCCACTTTTATCGACAATTGTCCCTGAAATCTGAATTAACAAAGTAAACTCAAGCCAACAATATAGACTCGAATTAAGAGTTCAGTCACAAAGACCAAATGAAACATGCAGGCAGACTTTCTGTGTTCTCGTATAGGGAAGAGAACTGTGGGGCTCAAAGGCAGCATTTTCCACAATGGCTGAACAGAAAAACGCCAGGTGAGGAGGGGGTTGGTGAGCCGCAGAAGCACGGAGAAGGGAAAGCCGCAGAGGCAAAAGCCATGAGCGGAACAGCTTCGGATTCTCAAATCCAATCCCATTAGAGAAGGCTTTCCCACGCACGGCAGGTAGCCTGGCCTCCCGCTGTGACGCAGCCCTAGTTCTGATTCTATTTTATTCTCACCAGGCAACCTGAGGCCTCTCGAGTGCGTCTGCCTGTTAAGTTAATAAATTGGCAATCTGCTGTCTTCAGCACCGGACACTTTACAGTCAGCATGCTAGGCCACCCCCCGTGGGCCCTAAGGAGAGTGAGTCCCTAAGCCTCTGGCTTCAGGAGCCCAATTCAGCCAGGCACTTTGCTTCCACCAACCACTTCTAGATTCATTCTCTTCACCGAGAGGTGGTGGTAGGAGGAAGGTGAACAAAGAAAGTTAAAGTAGGTGGTTCCTGAAAGATACTATCAATAGTTCTATGCAAGGAGAAAAAAAAAAAAACCTACCCTCAAAATGACAGCATTAATAAAAAACAAAAATCAACATTTCAGAACTTACAAAGATAGGCCGGGGAGCATATGCCTCTTCAAAAAGGTCCTGGAGTGCAAACAAGGCTGCCTGTCAGGGAAGAAAAGAACATCAGCTTTATCTCGAAGAGACTGTGACCAAGGTCAGTCTGACTGGTTGATCTGAATACTGGCTTTTATAAGACTTCTCTTTTTTTAAAAAAAAATTTATTTATTTCTAGAGAAAGGAGAAGGGGGAGAGAGAGAGACAGAAACATCGATGTAAGAGAGGAACATCAATCAGTTGTTTCACGTACATGCCCTGATCGGGACCAAACCCACAACCCAGGCATGTGCCCCGAGTGGGGATCGAACTGGCGACTTTTCACTTTGTGGGACGATGCCCCACCAGCCAGGGCCTAAGACCAGTTCAGGTAAGATCCATGTCGTGTTCTCTGGGAAGAAGAAATGCGTCCTCCCTGCAACACACAATGCAGTACCCGTCTCCAGATCACATTGTCGTGCTAAAGGAAAACAAACGCTGACTGAAAGTCCACCTAGGAGCCAGTGTTTCCTCTGCAGAGGAGCCAACGAGAGCTACTCAACCAAAACTGAAGTCAGAATGCCTCTGCCTTCCACACCCTCACATACACGTGGTAGGCAGTGAACCAGCACTGTGAGCCATGTCAAAACCAGTGTGAGCTCAGAGCTGGCTGTACAGACACAAACCCTGTGCTACTGTGCACTGAGCATGTTTTATTAAGTTCCAGGCAACACATCTTCCCTTTCTTTTCATCATTATATTTCTTGACTCTAAGATGTACATATTTTCATAATTAATTTGCTAAAGTCAGAATGCAACTTGTAATTGATGCGTACCTTCCCTGAGGTGGTGGGGGTTTTTTCCCACTGGAAAAATATCTGAATTTCTCTTTTTAGAAGTAGTCAAGTTGATCCTTGAGATCTTACAGAAAATAAACATAGAAAGAATAGCAAGGAAAGTTGTGTGAAAAAAAGAAGCGGAGTTTAATGAAAAAACTGCCAGCCTACCAGTTACTCAGACACACTGTAATTATCATGCTATGTAACGTGACATAATGCTGTCCTGGAAATAACAGCACGGCAGTGTGGCATCAGCAGACAGATTATTAGAATAGATTAGACCAGATGCACTCCTGAATTTAGACAATGTGGGTGATATTCCACATGATTCCTCTCATCAGAAAATAAAAGAACGGGCCCTGGCTGGTGTGGCTCAGTGGACTGAGCACCATACTGCGAAGCAAAGGGTCGCCAGTTCAATTCCCAGTCAGGGCACATGCCTGGGTTGCACGCCAGGTCCCCAGTAGGGGCACACAAGAGGCAACCAAACACTGATGTTTCTCTTTCTCCCTCCCTTCCTCTCTGTCTAAAAATAAATAAATATGCAAATCTTTATTTAAAAAATAATTAGTGTGAAAAAATAATGATCAAGACCTCCCTAGCCTGGCAAAGGAAACAGACACACAAGCCCAGGAAGCACAGAGTTTCAAATAAGATGAACCCAAAGAGGCCCACATCAAGACACATCATGATTAAAATGCCAAAGAAAAAGACAAAGAGAGAACCTTAAAAGTAGCAAGAGAAAAGCAGTTAGTTACCTACAAGGGGGCTTCCATAAGACTGTCAGCTGATTTCTCATAGAAACCTTGCAGGCCAGAAGGGCCTGGCAAGAAGTACTCAAAGTGATGAAAAGCACGGACTCATAACCACGATTACTCTACCCAGCAAAGCTATCATTCAGAATCAAAAAACAGATAAATAGCTTCTCAGACAAGAAAAAGCTAAAGGAGTTTATGAACTCCAAACTAGTATTACAAGAAATGTTAAATGGGCTTCTTCAAGAAGGAAAAAAAAAGATTAAAATATGAATAAAATGGCAATAACAATGTATCTACCAACAACTGCTTTAAATGCAAATGGATTAAATGCTCGAGTCAAAAGACACATGGAAGATAAATGAACAAAACAAGACCCTTACATAGGCTATCTACAGGAGGCTCACTTCCGTTCGAAAGACACACACAGACTGAAAGGAAAGGGATGGAAAAAGACCTTTCATGAAAATGGAAATGAAAAAAATAATAAAAGTTGTAGCAGCAATACTTACACCAGAGAAAACAGACTTTAAAATAAAGGCTGTAACAAGAGACAAAGAAGGATCTGGAAATTCTACTTCTGGGTATTTTCTGAAGGAACCCAAAACACTAAATTGAAAAGACATATGCATCCATATACATGTTGATTGCAGCATGACTTACAGTAGCCAAGACATGGAAGCAACCTAACTGTCTATCAACTGATGGGTGGATAAAGAACAAGTGGTACAGATATGCAAAGGAATATGACTCAGCCATAAAAAAAAATTAAATCATGCTATCTGTAAAAAGAGGATGGACTTAGAGGGTGAAATAAGTCAGACAGGGAAATGAAAATGACAAATGATTTCCAGGGAAATGAAAATGACAAAGAAACAAAACAGCCCTGTCTGGTGTGGCTCAGTGGATTGAGCATCAGTTTGTGAACTGGAAGGTCACAGGTTCAATTCCTGTCAGGGCACATGGCTGGCCTGCGGGCCAGGTCCCCAGGTGGGAGTGTGTGAGAGGAAGCCGATCGATCCTGCACATGCTTCTCTCCATCTCTTTCTCCCTCCCTTACCTTCTCTCTAAAAATAAATAAAACCTTTTTTAAAAAAGCATAAATTCATAGTTACAGAATAGTCATTATAAAAAATTTCTGAATCCGTGGTCTCATTTCATAACAATAAACATTTGATGAAATGTAAAGTACTAGGGATAAAAGGAGACCATTTTTTATCCTTATCTCAGAATGGCAAGTGACATTGCAAATATAATTTCCTGCCACCAGAAAAACCAGAATCTATAAACCAAACCATACAAGTTTAAAATTTTCTTGCACCATTTACAAACTAAATCAAACAAATGAAAAATACTACAGCTGTATCACCATCACCACCACATAAGAAGTCAAAAGTCAAACACCAAACTGGAGACAATATTTGCTACCCATCACTAATAGGGATGATTTCCTTAGGGAAAGACTCAAAAAAAAAAAAAAAGGACCAGAAGTCCAACAGAAATAAAACACAGGACACAAATCTCAGGAGAGAAAATATAAATGGTTGTAAAACTTTAAAAAGATGCTTTATCTGCCCAGATAACTGAGCAGATAACATATAACTGAGTTTGTTGGAGTGGTGTCCCATACACCAAAAAAAGGTTGCAAGTTCAATCCCTGGTCAGCACACATATCTATGTTGTGGGTTCGATCCCCAGCTGGGACATGTACGGAAGGCAACCAATAGATGTTTCTCTCACACATTGATGTTTCTCTCTCTCTCTCTCTCTGTTTCTCTCTCTCTCTCCCTCCCTCCTTCCTTTCTCTCTAAAATCAATAAATATATCCTCAGGTGAGGATTCAAACAAAAGATGCTCTATTACGTTTATAGTCAGAAGAAGACAAATGAAACTGCAGTGAGGAAGCATTTTTCACCTGTCGAATTGGAAAAGATGAAAAAGCGTAACAGCAGGTGGTGTCAGCAAGGCATGAGGAGACCAGCACGCTGTGCACTGGCTGCTGACGGGGGTCTGAACGAGCACACACCGAAGGAGGCTAATGTGACCCTGAAGACCAGAGTTAACAACAAAGAAACCCTCTGACCTGGCCATTTTACTTGTAGAAATTTATTCTTTAGATACACTGTGCAAAAAATCACATGTATAAATTGCTGGTTACCAGATGGAAAAGAGTTGTGGGTTAAGCGGAAAAGGTGAAGGGATGAAGAAGCACAAACTGGCAGTTATATAACAGGCACAGGGATGTAAAGTGCAGCACAGGGAATGTAGCCAATAATACGGTAACAACCATGTACAGCACCAGGTGGGTGCAAGATTTATGGAAGGGATCCCTTTGAAAGTTATATGTCTAATCACTGTGTTGTGTTGTACACCTGAAACTAATAATGTATGTCAACTATAACTGAAAATTAAACAAGCAAATAAAAACCACACATATAAGGACAGTTCCATTTTACTCCGTACACTTATATACCTTTGTGTACACACACACACACCCTGAGCTGAGACCTGCACAGAATCCCCATCAGGACTTCCACAGTGGTGAGAGTAGTTGTCCCCCGGGAGCAGGAGATGGAAGGATATTACTTTTCACTACATACATTTACGTATCATCCTTTGAATTTAGAACCGTGTGTATACATTTATTACCTATGCATATATGTACACACAGTATCTATACATGAAAAAATATACTTTCATAATTTAAAAATAACCTTCTCTAAAAGTTAAAAGGTAACCTTTTGAAGTTTTTTTTTTCTATTCTACGGGGTTCAGTTAACAGTCGAGAATAAAATGCAACAGAGGAATTTCATTAACTTCAGTAATGGCTCTTGTTGTCTTCTCACCACAGAGGGGATTCACCACAGCTCTCCAACCCCAGCCCTGTCCCTTTTCCTCCCTTAACTCACCTTGGCATTGGCAGTATCGAAAACCGTTTCAATGAGTAAGATATCCACCCCGCCATCTAGAAGCCCTTGGGCCTGCTCCTTGTACGCATCAACAAGCTCATCAAAAGCTGCAAAAAAAAGAAACCCCATCCAGTACATTGCTCATCAAGATCCTCTGAATGGCCAGGACACACTGAGTTCAGGCCTGGCACCTGTGAACTACACACTGCTGGTTTATAGTGCATAATTTAAGGGTGATGCCACCTTCTGTTAAGAAACCAAATACAGAAACATGGCAGTGGAATAAAGATGGAACTGAAACCAGCAACTGAACACAGTCGCCCCCAAACACCTGCACGAAGCCTGCACTTCCCATGTGTGGGCGGAGGCAGAGCGAGGGAATGGGAGGCTCCGGATTTCCTGAGCCCTGTAGATATCTTTAGGACAGACCATCCTTTCCAGGGGCAGTTCTAATCAATTCACAGGAACAAGTGTGAGGAGGAACTAGAGATATGTCACACTGACTTAGACTCATCACAGGGTGAGTCACATCCTCTTACTCTCTGGGGTAAAAGGCTCGGTCCTGGGGATCTGGCTCCTGCCCTCCGACACCAACTCTGCCGGAGAACAAACCTGCCTGGTGGGCAATTTCCGTCTCAAAGAAAAGTGTTCAGTCACTCCCAGGTAAAATTTTTATTAGAAACATGCTGGGTTGTCTATTTCCATCTGAGGGGTCATCCCTCTCCCCATTTCACTTTTCAAGCAAAAGAGAAAATGCTAAGATACTCAGCAGAGAAGCCTGCAGAGCACGTTAAGTGAACCCCACGGTGCAGAATCAGGGAGAGTCACGACCTCACTGTCATCCCTAGACCCTGGGAACATCAGAATGAATGATGTGTGGACAAAATCACTGCATGGGAAGTTCTGTGACCAAAAACCTACAAATCACAGCTTCCTGAACTTGTCATCTACACAAAATCCATGACTGACCATACATAGTATCATTACTATTCAGCTCTGAAAATTCTACCGTTTTTTATAGTCTGATGCTTAAGAAACTGACCTAGCTTTTTAGATTTTTTTGGTAAAATCTCAATGCAAATATGCTTCTATATAATAGTTTATAATTTTTATAATACTAGTATGTTTGTACAGTTTTGGACTGCATTATTATAAATAAAATGGAGGTCATTCTCTAATACACCCAGGCCTGGTGTCCATAATTTCTCAATGCGTCAGTTTAGAGCTTTATTTTGATTGGTTTTATTTCTACAGCTGATAAAAATGAACTAACACAACACCATGTACATTTGCGAGCAAGCTCAAAAAAAAAACCCAAAAAGAAAACAACAGCTAACTTTTTTTTTAGATGTATTCTACATTCCACAGACTGTTGTAAGCCCTTATGTGGATTATGTCAAAATAACCCTGAGACAGATTCTGTTTTCAGTCCCATTGTATAGATTTAGAGATTGCTAAAACACAGTAGTACTTGCTCAAGATCAATGACTACAGATGATGGATACTCACTGATGTTCCTGTAATCTGGTCTTTCCACAGATGGGGACACAGAGAGGGTCTTATTCGTTGGACCCAGAGCTCCTGCCACAAACCTCTTAATCCCTTTGGGAAAGAAAAGCAGGTGTGAAATCTCTGAATAGCTCAAGGTTTTCGTTGTGAATCAGTAAGTTATAAGATTTCCCTAGGATATAGGTCTCTAATCCTTTGTCCAAAACTCTGAAATCCCAAAGGTGTAAAAGTCCAAACTTTTTTCTTATTTCATTTGGCCACAAAACTTGACCTCTCCTGAACTAACGAGAGGCTTATTTACAGTTTTTCTCCCACTGAGAGGGCCAGTTTATAGATTTTACCAGAAATACACGTTTGATCCCAGGGCTGTTGTGGACCCCACTGGAGAAATGATGAATACAGGGCATGTGCACATATTACCACCAGGCCGATCCCGAAAGCTCTGAATTCTCACATGCCTGGCTTCCAAGTGTTTCTGTAAGTAATTCTTTTCTATCACCATAGCCACGTTTGGACAAATTCTCTCTCGCTATTCTTGAAGGTCCTGAACTTAACATGGGTTCTGCAAAGGCTCCTTACAGTAGCATTCAACAGGTTACAGGCCCAAATATTCCTTATCTTCTCCAAAGCTGAACAATAATGTGGAAATAAGAAAAATGTCCTTCTCTCTCCCGGCTTTTGCTGGCTGAACATCCTCTGACCTGCAACTCTGTTGGGGTAATAATCTGCGCATCTCCATGGATTTAAACATTACCTCTCAGAAATAGTGTTCCTTTCCATTCAGGGCCAGCACTCAATCCACTGAGCCACACCAGCCAGGGCAGAAACAGAGTTCCTATAAATTGATCCGTCTTCATTCATTAGTATGCTGTGTCTAACTTCCTAACAATTTTCTTTCATCTTTCCTGTTGGCAGTAATTTCACATTTCCAAATCTTAAAGAACTCCACATATTTTTCTACTCCTTTCCCTCCCTCAAAGCCTCCCCACCAGCTGCTTCCCAAGTGTTCTTGCGGCAGCCAGCCAGGAGGTTAGTTATTTTGGGGAGCCACTTTTCAAGTTCCTACAAGACTGAATCTACTGACAAACTCTTCTGTGCGCTACACAGAGCCTTCAAGGACATTAGTGGTACCAAGTGGAAAATGTTCCAAAGATAGTATCTCTTTACCTAGACAAGCCAACCACAGGGGTGGGAAAAGCTTTGAGGGTAAGACCAAATGCCTGAATAATAACCCAAATGACCAAAACAGTCAGCTGTTGCCTTAATAACCTTATGGTATGCTTCCAAAGGGAGAAAAATCATTTTAGCTGTAACATACAAGGAGCCATGGTCCTAGCAGCAGAGTAAACACAGAATAAACCCTGAGCCCAGGGCCCACAGGGACAGTCAATCCAGAGAGACAGTGAATGCTTGACTGTGAAATTGCAGAGAAGTAACCTGCAAATAAGTTCAACACAGTGCTTGCAGGGTTGCTGGAAAGCCAATGATTATTAAAGGGAAAAGTGTAATAAGGACAGCATATTACAGCTGAAAATTTCCAAGGAATCATCTTTGTAAAAAAAAAAAAAAAAAAGGGAAAGCCCTGGCTGGTGTGGCTCAGTTGGTTGGTCATTGCCCTGCAAACTGAATGATTGACATCAGGGCACATGCCTGGGTCGCAGGCCAGGTTCCCAGTTGGGGTGCGGGCAACCCATCAATGTTTCTCTCCCTCTCTTTCTCCTTCCCTTCCCCTCTAAATTAAAAAAAAAAAAGGAAGAAGAACATTCCTTACCTGTCTGGAGAGTTATCTCCTCAGCTGCTTTTCTGGCCACTCCCGCAGAACACTTGTTCATCCGGTAGACCTAACGCAAAACTACAAATGTTAGCTCACCCTCCTTTCCCTCCACATGTCAAATAAGGAACTCATGACCTTCTAAAACCCAGTGCCATTCAATAGGAAATGGAAAGCAAATTAATTTGAGGTCTGAATGAAATCTTGGCCAAGAAGGCCTATCAGCTGCCCCAGCCTCAACAGCAACAGGAAAGACAAAAGTCTTTAGGAACTGCTTTTAGGTTCTTCCCCAAAACCATAATTGACTTGGCAAAAGAACAACTTCTGGGCATCTGGCATGTCTCAGAATATGCTGATGTAGTTAAATATTCTGAGATTTAGATAAAATAATAGTAATGGGAAAAGCACAGGATTTACGAGACCAGCTTTGTCACTGCCAGCCGGCCAGTTCCCATGGCAACTTCTTCAGGCCCTGACTTCCTTCACCAAACAAAGGCTGTAATCAATGATTCTGAACTTTCTGTGAATTATTACCCTCTTGAAATTTGGTAAAGGCCTATGAACCCACTCACTAGGAAACAAAAGCAAGTGTGCACACACGTACAAAGTACTGCCTACAATTTAAAGAGGTTCAAAGGCCTCCTGAAGGGCTTCTACAAGCCAAGTTAGGAAGTCCTAGACTTGTGATCTTCAAGATTCCATCTAATTAAAAGACCCTCTGTGCCTTGGATCCTCACATCTATATATTAAGAAACCACAATATCCTAAAATAGGGGTGTATTAAACTATGGCTCCCAGGGCAAATCTAGCCTGCTGACAATTTTGTAAATAAAGCTTTATTATAACACAATTAAGCCCATCATTTACACATCTTCTGTGACTGCTTTTGCACTCCAATGACAGAGCTGAATAGTTGCAACAGAGGCTGTATGTAGCCAACAAATCCCAAAATATTTATTATCTGGCCCTTTACAGAAAATGTTTGCCAACTCTTACTCTAAAAAAAAACCAAAAATAACTGCAATAATTTTTCCGTGATACACAAAAGGCACATGATCTCATATTACACTTAGATGAGGAACTAGAGGACTCAGACCCAGAGACTGAGAGGAGAACGGCGGGGGCCGGGGCCTGGGGAAGGGAAGTGGGGAGTGAGTGTTTTATGGAGACAGAGTCTCAGTCCTGCAAGATAGAGCTCAGTGGATGGATGGTGGTGATGGTGTCACCAACTGAATATACTTAATGCCACTAAACTTATGCTTAAAAATGATTAGGATGGTAAATTTTATGTTACATGTATTTTGCCATAATTTTTTTTAAAAGGAAATCAAATTTACCATGCACTACTTAAGAAGGCCTCACAAAACAATGCACACAGCCAGTCACTATGCCTTTATCAATAATCACTGTGTAATAAGCATCATTTCTATTTGATTATTACTCGCCCATAAAAGAAGCCAGATGGAAAAATAAATGGGCTGCTATATTCATAAGCAGAAGAGAGTCAAACCATTTCCCTGTCTGAGCACAAACAACAGATAACCAAGCATTTGCTTCAGGAAGTCTTCTCACTAGCAACTAGCAATGCGGTAAATGCTTCTTGAACATCTTAGTTATGAGGGGAAATGCAAGTCTTACCAAGTGTTCCAGGCCATAGTCAGCTTGGGCAATATTAGTGCTGCTGAAAGTGTTTGTTTCAATGATATCTGCCCCAGCCACCAAGTAATCCTGCAACAAGACAGTACTGTCAATGCTGAGTTTTAGAATCCATCTCCCCCAACAATAAATATGCCTTTCCATCATCGTCACCCCCAGACAGCTTCTGACCACTTACTAAGCATACAGTACTGCACTGGAGGCTAGAGATGCACACAGGTGTAAGACTCTCATAGGAAGGCACATGGTGTAAATAAACACAGCACTTGAATTCAGACAATTTCACACACTAAGGTCCTTGAATTGAGTCAAGTTCCCTAGACTCTCTTAGTTTCAGTAGCCCCATTTGAAAGTATTAAAATTCTACTTCACAGGGTGGCTGTATCATGATACAGAATAACACATCAAGTGCCTGACACAGGATGGGCGTGCAACAGACTGCAGTCCCCTCCCTTGCCTTCCCAGTGCCTTGCTACACTCTGGTCCCCACTGAGAACTCCACTGGCTCTAGACCTTGAAGCTGACCACACAGTTCCGCCCGTATCTCCTAGTGCCTCTGCAGCAGACCCGCACTCCCACTGGAGCCCTGAGGACCCAGTGCCCTCCTGGGCTCCCTGTTTAAAACCTTTCCTCTCAACTTCAGCCTGATGGGCACTCTGGAATCGCTCAGCCTCCTAGATTCTTCCACAGTGAGTGAGCCTGATCCTGTCTAGCTGATAAAATGCTCTGCAGAAGAGCTGGGCAATGAAAACCAAGATTTACACATTTATAAGTCACAAACTTCTTAAATATCTATCAGTAAAGAATAGCTAAATAAACTATAACATATCCCTTTTATTACATGCCATGTGGTAGCTAAAAAACATTGTGTATAACTACATATACTAACACAAAAAGATCTCCAAAGTACTGTTTAATAGGCAAACAAGATTGATTGATATGTAAAGAATGACATCTTTCATATGTACATACATATATACAAATTATATGTGAATTTTCTATATATATATGTATATACATACACATATCTGTACACATATATACTTATATAAGTGTACCACAAAATCATCTAGAAAGACACGTCAACTAACATTGAGTGGTTATCTTGGCAAAAAAAAAAATAGAACTTTGGAGTAGTTTTAAAGGGAATTTACTCTTTTCTGTGGGTTTTGTTTTATGAGAACAAATTAATTAAAATTTAATTTTTCAAAAAAGAACAAGAAAAACTTCTTAATGCCTAGGAATAAGGAGATGTATACATAGAATAGATTAATATGAAGTTATTAAGACCATTTTTGGAACATTTAATGCTTATGGTATATAAGTAAAAAATGCAAATTTTAGAATAGGATGGAGTAATAGAATCACAATTTAATTTTTAAAATCCAAATATAGAAAACTAAATTGAAATATAAAATAAAGTATGTGAATGGTAGTTATCTCTTGGCATTGATATTACAAGTGGTTTTTATTTTCTCTTTTATGCTTTTCTATATTATGTAGCTAGACCTGTTTTTTTTTTTTTTTAAATATGTGCTGTGGAAGCGAGCACTAAACCTGTTTTTTTAAACAGTGAATGCATACTGTCTTTAAAATTAGAGAAAAAAATATTTCTAAATTTCCACAGATGTGAAAATTTCCACAACACAAAATTAAAAGGCGCTGCCTCTAGCTAGTTGCCCCCTCTCTCCACCTTTCCTAGGTCACTGCTCCACTCGTGAGCTCTGCAGAGCCCACCCCCATGCCAATCCTACTCTCACAGACTCAGGGAATGTGTGATCTGGGGCAAGCTGCGTAATTCCTCTGCTCCTGTTTTCTCCCGAAGAAGGCTGTAAAAATTAAAGGAGGACATTAAAGACGGCCCTTGTACAGACTAACAGATGTTTCAAATATGGTCTCACATCGGTCCTGGTCTACACTGACGGCGCCCGGCTAGTCACGCCTGTGGCTGTGACAGCCAAATGCACCTCAACAAACATCACGGAGCTTTGCACGAAGCAGGATTTATTATTTACCATTCCAGGATGACGCAGGCACTCCTGGGGCCGCAGAGCAAGGTGGCATGGAGTAGGTGTGAGTGAGCAAGTAAGTGCATGTGAACCTGGGGTTCAGCCTTTACTGAGGTCAAAGTTGGGGCTCTAGGGTTTTCCAAGTTTGATCTTTATTGGCAAATTTAAAACATAAGAGTGGGAATTAGGGTGAGGAAAGGGAAGAGCACTGTCACTCAAGCAGTCAGTTATCTAGGTTACTCAGGGCTTTCTTAAAGGAGAATTTCAAAGGAGAAAGTGGCCGGGTTCCTTATCTAGTTGTTTAGCTAGCAACTGTGTCCTACACCTGTCAAAGTGCTTATTAGAGGTAAGTATCTTTGAAATGATGCCTCTGCAATCAAAAGCTTAATGTCAGGCACTTATACTACACATATAACTTAGGAATTCCATTAAACTTAAGTACCAGACGATCTGATCTACAGTCGTTAATTCCACTAGAAATAACTAAGTGTGAAAATAACCCAGGCTTTTTCTGTTCTTAACATGACATGGTCTCTACATTCAAAGGCTCCAGTCAGTAAATATTTTCCCAGGAATGAGACAGCTAGAGAGACCTTATTGTATTATAGCCATTTTTGCTTCATGCACCTATCATGGGAATCTTGTTGTTCTATCTAGAGGCCTGTCTAATACACAGGACAGGATCTGCTCCTTCAACAAATGTTTACTGACTACTAACCACACACTACATACTGTTCTAGGCAGTAGCTATTCAGGACTCAAACACAGGCATAAATCGCTACCCTTAGGAACTTAGACACTAGTGATAATCCACAAGAACAAAGCCACATGGCATGACATTTGTGAGACTCACCAACTCTGTTAGAAGAACTGGGTTTTGTAACCACTCCAAGCAATTCATACCCACGATGACATTCCCAGTCTCCCAATACACAGGAATTTTCATGAGATTTGACTACATATTTTCAAGGCCTAGCAGAAAAACTGAATTACTCTTCTTTCTGCAGAACCAAACTTCTTCAAAGACCAATTTGAAATCTTCCACTACCTACAATTCCTCTTATAACTAAAGAAAAGGCATTCTTAGCTTTTCTTCAATGGAAAACTACTCTGCATCTTACTTAGAACAAAGTTTTGAACACCCAGTAAAATGATCCCTTCCACTCAGTGAATCACTCAACCACTCAGTGATTCGTTTAGGTAATTTTTCCCCCTTAAGAAAAGTCTGAAACACCTATAACAACAATAAGGCTCCAGAAAATAAAACCATCTCACTTAAATGATAAATAAGCTTTGTCCTTTTAACTGATTCCAGACCAGGGAAACAGATTAAATCACCTATCTCTTCTAGTCATAATTCTATGAAATTTCTATAATCACCTATGAAACAACTCTGTTCTATGTTTATTTTAAAACTTTCAAATTATAGCAATACCCAGCTACTTGCTTCTCACCTCTTTTACATTTGTTAGACATTTTTACTGGAGACAGAACAACAGAATGAAAGAATATGCTATTTCAGCTCAGTAAACCTCTGTCCTGTCCCATCAGGCAAGTTATTAAACCTCTGTGATCCTCAGTTTCCAAATCTAAAAAATGAAAATAACAACTACCTTTCGTTGTGTTTCATCAAGGCTATTTTGGTGACTTCAGTAATATAGTGGATGTGAAAACTCTAATTTGTCCAGGACTTTGTGGGTTTTCTCACTGGAGGTGAAACACCTCAAAGGCAGAAAACCTACCTTCCTCATTTCCTTACCCCGAATGGTAAGAACGATTTTTATTTGGTGCCCAACGCCTGCATTCTGAACAAATTACCTCTTTCTTCTCTATCCTCCAGAGCACTTGGCACAGTGTTCTGCCCTCAATACATGAAACAGTGTGAAGAGAGACAGACTGAAAATATAAACAAGCACTTGGTGACACTTTACCTTATGGATTTGATAAATGACATCGGGTTGAGTTATACTTAGAATGTCATTGTTGCCTTTCAGTGGCCGGGCATGATGCTTAAATTCCTGGCCTCGGAAGTCTTCTTCACTGAGCTTGTGCCGCTGGATCATGGTTCCCATGCCTCCATCCATCACCATGATCCTCTCCCGCAGAATGGCTTCGATCTCATCCTGCAGGCTTTTCTTCATGCCTCCTTTAAAGAAAGTGAAAACTTGACTTCAAAAAATGAAAGGGGAAGATGATGTGTGGAGAGGGAGTTTAGATAATGTATACCCATTCACATTAGAGTTAATAGGGCTCATAAAAGATATGCTCATAGCTCCACGACATTAGAAAAATGCTGCGCAAAAATGTTTTCATTAAGCTATTACAATGCCAAGATCATATATCACACAAAATCACCAGCGAAGCACCAAACAGGTGTTAAAGCAGGCTGCAGCTACTGTTCCAGAGAGGGGGAAAGGGCAGCAATGAGCCAAGTGATGCAAGGCCAGCCAAGCTGCCGAGCCGCCTTCGGGGCTGTCTCTGCCTCGGTTAATTCTGCACACATGCTCCCTTCATAGGGAGATTTAACCGGGATAATTGAAAATGATCAGTAATTCCAAACTCCATTTAATTGTGAGCTTTGACAGACTTCTCCACCTACCGAGAAAACTAAGAGCCTCACACCCCTCTGCTCCATCTATTAAAAAACTGGCTAATGCCCTGGAATGTCTCAACTCTATGTCCTTAACTTCTCCCTCCCAGTTCTGGAAGCCCTGATGCCTCTCCCTCCAATCCTATTTTCTGGTTTCCCGTAAGTAGCCATGGGGTTTTAGACAAGACTTTGTTTCTTCATGTTCCAGGAATGGCATGTTTGCAAGGGAGGAAATGAACATTAGTCTGGCGGAAAGAAGGCAATATTCAGTGAAAAAAATAAAATGTAGTTTCAAATGGGGAATAAAAAAGATCAAAAACTTTCACCTATATGCACAACTGAATTCCTTTCTTTTTAAAAAAAACTATAGCCCTAGCCAATGTGGCTCAGTGGTTTGAATGCCACCTGCGAACCAAAAGGCTGCCGGGTCGATTCCCTGTCAGGGCACGTGCCTGGGTTGCAGGCCAGGGCCCCAGTTGGTGGTGTGCAAGAGGCAACTAACTGTTCAGTGTTTCTCTCCCTCTCTTTCTCTCACTCTTCCCCTCTCTAAAAATAAACAAATAAAATCTTGAAAAAAGGAATGTAGCTGCAATCCACCCTGACCTGAGATTATGTGAGCCTAAGTGGGTGATTAATTCATTGGACTGGCTGAAGAACAGGGTGTGAATGTGGGGAGATTAGGTCATATATGTGTAATTTAATTTAAAAAGTATCTAAACTGTCTGGGGAAAAAAAGGCAGTATTTTTCACAATGAAATATGTCCTTTGGCCTCAGCAAAATGGTCAATTGATACCATATTAGTTACATTTCTTTGTCCTTCCGTCTCCTGCACTGAGTAAGTGCACACGTGAGACAGAAAGGAGAAACTGGCATGAGGAGTGCCACGCCTTCTCCCGTCCTAGTCCACCTCGCGGGCATTAGTTTGGCACTTTCTACTCACTGCAAATCTGACAGTGGAGTGTGACTCTGCTCCTGATTTTCTTAAAAGGTCTAAGCATTCTCCCATGGGGCTCCCACTGTATTTACTTTTCAACCAGAAATATACACTGTTCTCAGACTTTAAGACAGTTCACTATTTACCATAAAAAAACCCTGTCCCCACACATACAAATTCCAAGATCTTGTTATGAGTCATCATATATGTGAGAGGTCAAAGGTTTTTTTAACTCTAAAGAAAACATCTGATTTTAATGAGAAATGTGACCAACTTTTTCTATTACTTATGTGGAAGACCAAAAGCCCATAAAGAGCTAAATTAATTTTGAAAAAATAGGAAATGATTACTAGACCCACCAAATATTATATGATGAACCCCATCATAAAATAAGGAATGTACAATATAGAAAATTTTTATTACTTAGAAAAGAGAAAGATTTCTTACGACTCAAAAAGCTCAACCTGTAATGTTTAAAAAAATGAATTTGATTACATACGAACTAAGAATTTCTGTTAAATGAAATTCACCATAGTGGATAAAAAAAGTTGTTGAACATAATCTACAATGGCTATAAAAAACATGTAACCATATCGTTTTTGACAGCATAGATGGACCATAAGGGTACTGTGCTAAATAAGTCAGTCAGAGAAGGACAAATGCCAGATGATTTCACTTATATGTGGGATTTAAAGAACAAAATAAATGAACAAACAAAACAGAAACAGACTCATAGATGCAGAGATCAGATTGACAGTTGCCAGGTGGGAGGCGGGATTAGGGGCCTGGGTAAAAAGGCAAAGGTATTAAGAAGTACAGATTGGTAGTTGCAACATAGTCACAGGGATGTAAAGTACAGCACACGGCACAGAGTCAGTGACATTATAATAACTAAGCATGGTGCCAGGTGAGTACTGGAAATATTGGGGGGACACTTTATAAAGTTTATCAGGGGTCCCCAACTTCCGGGCCTGTCAAGAACTGGACTGAACAGCAGGAGGTGAGCTTGAAAGTAATGCATGCTAGAACCATCCCCAAACCAACCCTCCCACCCAGTCCGTGGAAAAACTGTCTTCCATGAAACCAGTCCCTACTGCCAGAAAGGTCGGGGACCACTGATAGTATATGATTATCTAACCACTGTGTTGTACATCTGAAACTAATACAAAATAATATTGAGTGTAAACTGTAATTAAAAAATAAAACTTTGAAAATTCTAAAAGAAACTCATCACAAACAAAATAGATAGATTATGAATTGGAGAAACATTTTGCAATGTCTACAATTGAAAAGGACTAACAATTATAATGTACAAAAGGAACTTCTACAAATCAGTAAATCAAATAGAAAAATGGCGGCCCTGGCTGGCGTAGCTCAGTGGATTGAGCGCGGGCTGCGAACCAAAGCATCACAGGTGTGATTCCCAGTCAGGGCACATGCCTGGGTTGCAGGCCATGACCCCCAGCAACCGCACATTGATGTTTCTCTCTCTCTCTCTTCCTCCCTCCCTTCCCTCTCTGAAAATAAATAAATAAAATCTTTTAAAAAATGTTTAAAAAAAAAACACAAAAAACCTATCACTTTAAAAAAAAAAAGAAAAATGGGCAAAAGATATGAATAGGCAAGTGAAGAGAGGGGAAAACTGTAATAACCAAGGAGTAGATGAAGTGATACTCAAACTAATTAACTACCAGAGAAATGTGAATTAAAACAGCACAATAACAATTTACATCCAATTTACAGATGGGCAATAATTAGAAGATTGGACTTCCGGCAAGATGGAGGCATAGGTGGACGCACTGTACCTCCACACACAACCAAGATTAGAACAACAATTTAGAGGCAGAATAACACCCAGAACTGACAGAGAATTTATCTGAATGGAAGTCGGACAGCCAAGAAGTTGAAGTAGACTCGTTCACCCAGACCGGTAGGAGGGGTGGAGAGGAGCAGCCGGGCGCGGGTTGCAGCACGGCTCACAGCGTGGAGGACAGAGAGCAGTGGGCGCATAAGGCAACCGGAAGCACGTAAGGCATCCAGGGTGGCAGGATCGCAGTGGGTGGACCCTGAGTAGGCGAGCGGCAGCTGGTGGACCCAGTGAGGCGGCGATTGTGGACCGGGTCAGAGCGCCATTGTTCCCTCCCACCCCCGCCCCCACATACAACGTCACAATCTAGCGACTAGGGTGCCCAGCCCCGGTGAACACCTAAGGCTCCACCCCTCACCGTAACAGGAGTGACCAGACCAAAAAAAAAAAAAAAGAGAGAGAGAGAGAGAGAGAAAGACACGTCTCAAACAGAAAAACAGATCAATGCCCTAGGGCTCATCCTTTTGAGCGACCAAGAGGTAGCCAATCTATCAGATGCACAGTTCAAAACACTGGTGATCAGGAAGCTCACAGAATTGGTTGATTTTGGGTGCAAATTACATGAAAAAATGCAGGTTACCATAAAAGAGATGAAGGAAGATGCATGGAGAACCAATAGTGATATGAAGAAAACTGGGACTCAAAACAATAGAGTGGACCAGAAGGAAGAAAAAAACAACCAAACAGGAAAGAATGAAGAAATAAGAATTCAAAAAAATGAGGAGAAGCTTAGGAACTTCCAGGACATCTTTAAACGTTCCAACATCCGAATTATAGGGGTACCAGAAGGGGAAGAGGAAAAGCAACAGATTGAGCACGTATTTGAACAAATAATAAAGGAGAACTTCCCCATTCTGGCAAAGGAAATAGACGTCCAGGAAATCCAGGAAGCTCAGAGAACCCCAAAGAAGTTGGACCCAAGAAGAAACACATAAAGGCACATCATAATTACATTAGCCAAGGTAAAAATGAAGGAGAGAATCCTAGAAGCAGCAAGAGATAAGGGGACAGTAACCTACAAAGGAGTTCCCATCAGACTGTCAGCTGATTTCTCAAAAGAGAACTTACAGGCAAGAAGGGGCTGGAAAGAAGTATTCCAAATCCTAAAAGACAAGGGCCTATATCCCAGATTACTCTATCCAGCAAAGCTCTCATTTAGAATGGAAGGGGAGATAAGTGCTTCTCAGATAAGGTCAAGTTAAAGGAGTTCATCATCACCAAGCCCTTATTTTATGAAATGCTAAAGGCACTTATCTAAAAAGATAAAGAAAAGACATGTATAGTAAAAGGACAGCAAACTCACAATTATTAACAACCACACCTAAAGCGAAACCAAAAGAAACTAAGCAAACAACTAGAACAGGAACAGAACCACAGAAATGGAGATAACATGGAGGGTTGGCAACAGGGGAGTGGGAGGAGGAGAGAGGGGGAAAAGGTACAGAGAATAAGGAGCATAGATTGTAGGTTGAAAATAGATAGGGGGAGGGTAAGAATAGTATGGGAAACGTAGAAGCTAAAGAAGTTGTAAGTATGACACATGGACATGACTAAAGGGGGGCGATATGGGTGGGAGAGGGTGTACAGGGTGGAGGGGAGTGAAGGGGGGAAAATGGGACAACTGTAATAGCATAATCAATAAAATATACTTTAAAAAGTACAAAAAAGAAGATTGGATAATGCCAAAGAAAATCTGTCCCCTCAAGTACGTGTGTTGGCACACAGACAGAGCCATTCTGGAGAGCAACCTAGCAGAGTTAGTAAAATTAAGAATGCAGAAAACCGAGCAATCTCACTCTGGGTGTATTTCTCAAACTCTCACAGACCCACAGAGACTACCTAAGAGGATATCTGTTGGAATGGCAAATTGGAGGCAACCTTGGTCAGGACATGGAGAAGTGAATGCGATGGATGCCCATGTGGAATAATACGCGGTGGTAACCAGACAGACCTCTACGCTGCTGTGCTGCAAGGCTGGAATACTGAGTGAAAAAGTCAGCAATGGTTCAAAGTCACCTTGATACTATTTACATAGGTTAAAAATACACATATACACAAACTAGAGTACAGAGAAACATACAAACACACGGACACTTTTGGAACAGGCTACTCATGGAATAGCAAATACATAAAAGGGAAACCTAACAAGTATAAATAGGAATTGCACGGATAGAATATAAAACTCCTCTGCAACTGAGGTCCTTCGAAAGCCCACTGCTTCTACGTGTTCCCACATCTTCACTTATACTTTAGCATAAGATGTGTTGGTTTAAATTAAGCGTTCTCTGTTCTCAGACTCACTAGGGGATTACCCTCCAGGGGCTTCTAATCGCGTGGCCCTCACAGAACCTCTCACAAGAGTCGGTCAGGGCCAGCGGTCATCGAAACCTTTCTCCTCCGGGAAGAACCACCACCCACACCCTACTTATCAGGACTCAGCCCGTTACATCCGGAACATCGTGCACGTCTTAGAGCAGACTCCCCGACATCTTTTCCATGAACACGATATTGCTGTTCAGTGCCGCAGTCACCCACTGAGCCGTGGCATCCCCCTCAAAGGAAAAGCACGTGTTACCTTTCTAATTAAATGGAGAGAGGAAAGTCGTAAGTCCCAAATAAGAGAGAGTATTCAAATAGTTATATATGATACCCTATGAGAGGAACAGGCCTTACTTACATGCCCGCAGCAGGGATAAAGCTTTTCTCTGTCCCAGTCTCAGTCCCACTAGCGTCAGGGCAGCTGTGCCATCCCACTGATGAGGGCCCTACTGCCCTGTCCCCATTACAGTTCCTGGCTGCTGCACTTCCCACTTCGCACCTACATTTCAGTGGGGTATCTGCACAGGCTCCAACCAGGATGACCTCAGAGACCCACAGCTGTACTTCCCGTAAAGTGGAAATCACACTCAGTACCAGGTAGGGTTTCTCTCAATGGTGATCCCAGAGGGACGAAGTCAGAGTCACCGAGGTCTCTACTCCCCATCCCCACCTGCTGAGCGCCTGTTAATCTGTTTTAACAGAGATCCAGCGCAGCTGGAATTTGAAGAACGACTGCTCAGACTCCGGAGTGCAAAATCAACGCTCACAGTTGTGTAAACAGGCCTCCAGGCTTCCTCACCTGCCCTCGGCACCTGAACTCTCTTTGGCTGAGCACGGTAGGTGCTCACTACCTACCTACGGAATGAGAACGTAAAGTCTGGCAAAACCGCCCTCTGAAATCGACTGTCAAAACGCAAAGTTCTTACTCGGACGTAGCAGTGTTTCCCCAGCAAGAAAAGAGGTGTGTGTTCAGGATGCGACGGCCGTTTGCCAAGGGAGGAAGAGATGCTGGCGGGCAGGGACGGGGTGTGGGAGGAGAGGAGGAGATGCTGGCGGGCAGGGACGGGGGTGTGGGCGGCGAGGAAGAGATGCTGGCGGGCAGGGACGGGATGTGGGCGGAGAGGAAGAGATGCTGGCGGGCAGGGACGGGGTGTGGGCGGAGAGGAGGAGATGCTGGCGGGCAGGGACTGGGTGTTGGCGGCGAGTAAGACCTGCTGGCGGGCAGGGACGGGGTGTGGGCGGAGAGGAGGAGATGCCGGCGGGCAGGGACTGGATGCCGGAGGATGGGACTGGATTCAGGCAGGGGACGGACGGGGTGCCAACGGGCAGGGACCGGTGTCGGCGGGGAAAGGAGCGGCGAGACACGTGGGTACTCCGGGAGCCCACAGGCGCCGCGAGAACCTTGCGGGGCGAATCAGGGTGTGAGAGCACCACCAGGCGTCTGGGAGCGCACAGCACGAGTCGCAAAGCACTGCACCCAAGGCCAGCCAGAGTGTTACCGGAGGGCATGCGCTCCTGCTGCGGGGGGGACATGCCGCCGCGTGTGCAGCTCCTCCTCAGGCGCGGGGCGCAGCGGGGAAGTCTCTGCAGCGGCCGGCTGAGAGCGGCGCTGACCAGCGCTGGCCAGGCCGCGGAGAGGACCGGACGACCGTGGAGTGCAGGACGTGGACCGAGGCCCGGCCGGGCCCTGGGTCCGCCGGGATCGGACAGCTCAAGACGCACAGAGTTTCCGCTGCAACCGAGTCTCCATGCTGGGGCTCCCTCCCGTGGGCTGTGGTTGGTCTGTGTGAGCTCTTCGCCCTCGTATTGGCTGTTGGTCTCAACCAATCGCCTGAGGGTCGCTCCAGAGTTCTCTGGGACATGTAGTCGGTCAAAGAGGACCTGGGAGAAGGTCCTGGGGCGCCCAGGCTTCGCTGATCTCGGGGGGCCTGGATCCGGAACTGCGGCCACGTGGCCGCAGCTACTATCAGCCACAGAAGCCGACGATGACCCAGCACGGGGTGTGCTGTTCTGTAGACAACCAGGGGCTAGTCGCGGCGCGGTATTGCCTGTGGCTGGGTGAGAAGCATGCTAATGGACACCAACGGGCAATAAACGTTTATTTGCTCTCACCGTGTGTGGGCCTTGGAGTGCAAAGACCACCACCTCTCTGTCAGAGGAACTCAGGACCTAGATGAGACTGATAATTGAGCAGGAAAATAGATAAAAGTCTGTCCACAGTGTGCCAAGGCAGCTGCAGGACCCGGGGTGTCGGGGGAAGCCTCCGAGAAGAAGCTGGGTCTAAAGCAGCGATTTTCAACCTTTTTCATCTCATGGCACACATAAACTACTTACTAAAATTCTGTGGCACACCCCAAACTATATATTTTTTACTGATCTGACAAAAGTAGGTATAATTTTGATTCATTCACACTGGATAGCTATTGTTGTCTTTCTTGGCTGTTGTCATTTTTTAAAATTTGAAAATCTACGGGAAAAGAGGGCAGGGCCCCTGACTAGGTAGTCAAGTATTTCATGCTGTAAACATTGCCGCGGCACACCAGAGGACGATCTCTGGTCTAGAAGGAAAGTGTGTGCCAGGCAAGGCCGTTCCAGCTGGGAAGAGGGAACCACTCAGCACTTGAGAGAATTTGAAAATACAGGACATCACTGTGGCTGAGTAGGGTAGATGGGAGGAAAAACAAATCTAGAAAAAATAAAATTGAGACCAAATGAAGTACAAGTTTGCATGCCATTCTTATTCTGTATGTAATTATATTTCAATGTCCTAGTCTACAAAACTAACAATAATAACTGCGAGTAGCATTCTTAGCAAAGATGGTCATGCCTGGGGCGTGGCTGGAGAAGGCAGAGGAAGTAGTGGGAGAAAATGAGACAACACTGTAGGATGAATGAGATGCCCCTTAATAACTGAAGACCCTGATTTTAAGGGCTGGTTTTTAAATTCTCACTGATCTCATAAAGTTTTTTGATTTGTCTCTTGAAAAATAATCTTTCAGGCAGCTAGTTGTTTACTATCCCTTATCTTAGCAGAAATTCCAGGAACTGTGAATCAGTCTTTGTTTTCAGAAAGTCATCCAAAGTTTACTTCTTGGCTAACACTGACCAAATCCAGTATTTTCTAAGTCATAAAAGGGTAATAAGATTAAAGGAATACATAGTGCCTAAAGGGGCAGTGAGTGCCTACCCAGTACACAAATTCACAACTTAAATGAGTCTCAATAATTCTGTTATGGGTTGAATCATGTTTTCCAAAAAACGTTCTGTTGTAGTCCTAAACATCAGTACTTCCGACGTAAACTTAATTGGAAATGAGGTTATTGAGGTTTTGTAGATGTAATCAGTTAAGATGAGATCCTATGGCAGTAGAGTGGACCTTTAGTCCAACATGACTGGTATCCTTACAAGAAAAAGAGAGACACAGGAAGAGGCAACCATGTGACAGCAAAGGCAGAGACTGGTGTGATGTGCCTGTGAACCAAGGAACCCACAGATTGCCAGCAAACATCAGAAACTAGAAGAGATGAAAAAAAAAAAGGATTCTCCCCTGTAGGTTTCAGAGGGAGCATGGCCCTGCTGACATCTTGGATTTGGACTTCTGGGTTCCAAAACTGTGAGATGATACATTTTTGTTGTTTTAGGCCACCCATTTTGTGGTATCATGTGACAGTAGCCCTAGGAAATAATACAAATGCATCTGTAAATGGGGTGGGAACAGTGAGGCAAAGCCTCCTTGCTCTCTGTAGGAGAGGGTCTGCTGTCTTGTTTGGCTAGCCCGTGCCCCATGCTCACCTTCACCCTCACCCTCATTCAGCTCATCCCACACAAACCCGTTGTGAAGAGAGAAGACTTCATACAACTGCTTGGTAGTTTGTGGCTTCTTTCCCAGTGAGTTTGTCTTCACTGATCAGTAAACCTCACTATCCAACTCTCGTTGTGGCCAGTAGTAAATTGGCATTCCAGCTTCACATGCTGTTCTGTGGGCTTGGTTGTGAATGTTAAACCCATTAGGTTGCCTTTATATCCTGCTGGTCCTAAACCAGTTCTGGAACAGGTATTTCTACTTCTGGGGCCTGTCAGAGTGACCACTGGCTTTCCCCAGCAGAAGACCCTTGACTTTGCCACAAAGGTGAGCCCACCACCTCCTTTTCTAAAATCCTTTCATAATCTCAAGATTTAGACCCACCCACCCAAAGTCATGTTGTGATTACTCACATGAATTGTACTAAATGAGCTGAGCCTGTTGAGTCTGCAGGATATATACTTGACACCAAGTACAAGGTAGTAAAAATGAATGTAAAGGAACTTTGCAGTTACTTTGTCACCAATAGCCCCTGGGAGACCTTGCTCCCCTTTCTGCACTAAGCGAATTACTATCTCTCTTTGTAGGACATGACACCTGGTAGGATCAGTTGGCTCAATTTGTGCCACCTGCTCCACTGACTCCAAAAGCATCCTTGTTTTTAAAATTGATTTGAGAGGGAGAAACATCAATTTGTCGTTCCACTTATTTATGCATTCAGTGGTTGATTCTTGGATGTGCCCTGACTAGGGGTCAAATCCATAACCTTGGCGTATCGAGGAGATGCTCTAACCACCTGAGGCATTCTTGATTACCAAAAGATCATTCATCTTTGACCTGGTTAATTACACCAGCACCTGAATATAGACATCACTTGACAGAAATGAAATGCAAAAAATGGGTTTATCTAATTACATCATAATACCAGGTATCAACACCAGGTATTGAGCACTTACTGTCTTATTGCAATCTCTTATTTAATCTTCATTTTATAAAACAGGATTCATGTACTCGTCCGTATTTCAGAGTCAGAAATCAAGCAAGAAGAAAGTATTCCATTGCTCATACAACCTGAGAGCAGTGGAGTGAGGACCCCAACAGCCCAATCCCAGAGCCTAACACAGTAATTTATGGGTTAAATAAACACCTAATTCCAAATACTATAAACATCTGTATTCAGGGAACAATATTTGTGGATTTAATTGCAAGGATTATTTTTAAGCCTTTTTAGAAAATCCAAAGTGTGGAGTATTTTATGTGTATGAGGTTTTTTCATTTGTTTTTCAGTTTTGCCTAAGAACAAAGCAAAATATTTTTGTTTAATAAACAGGAATGCGGTACTTAATCAGCTTCAGGTGGTGAACTGAGGACTAAACTTGCTGACCGCTAATCTTACTTTAATAATGAGGTACAAGGGGAAAGTGTTTTGACAAACACTTTTTAAAGTCTTGTCTTTGAATCCTGCAAATTTACATCATAAACATGGAAGTAAATCAGAAATAATGTTTAAATTGGAAATAGTTCACTGAGAACAAATTCTTTTCTCCAAAAAGAAATTGATTAATGTTCAATGCTCATTTTTAATGCTTTTGTTCCTCAATTGAAACTGCGGGGGTTCAGAGCTAGCCACTCCAAGAAGCGCTTCTGTGGTATGCAGATTGTTTTCTTTCTGACCCACACATATGCCAGGGCAAGTCTCTATTTACCAAACATCTTTTCTTCTTGTCATCCCAAAGTAACCCTTTAAAGACCCCAAGGCAGCCTCCCTCATCCTCGGCTCAGAATGTCTCACACGCCCGTGTTCCCTTTCTGTCTCTGAACCTCTCGTGCATGTGGGGTCTCTGAACCTCATGTAAGTGCGGTTCCCACACATGTGTATAAATTCGGTCGTTTCCTATTGCTGATCTGTCTCATGTCTGTCTAATTATTGGACCAGCCAGAAGAACCTTGAGAGCAGGAGAAAGTTTGTTCCTCCCCACAAAACTAAGTTAGTATTTTGCTTTTGTTTTCCTTTAAAGGGCAAGTTTTAAAACAAAGATGACTTAAGAGAATTAAGTGAACTAGCCAGTATTGTTTTCTGGCCCTGTCTGGAAGGGAAGGTCCAATTAAACAATCAGGTTGAAACCTGGAATTGCTATAGTATTTGGGACACAATTCAAAGTCATTAAAAGGTGAGAGTTTTTGGTATACTGGCAATTAAAGATCAGTTGTTGAAATCCTATGATTTGCAGAGTATTTATTTAAGAAATATTTATTGACACTGTCATGTGCCCATCACTGGAGTTAAAGTGACCAGACAGGCAGACCCAGGCCCTGCAGCCTAGAGAGCAGGACAAACGATAATCCTCCTGTTATGATAAAAAGGGTTAAAATATAACCCCAGATACTGAAATAGAGAACAGGCTGACGGTGACCAGAGGGGAGAGGGGAGGGAATTTCAGGGGAAAAGGGGAAGGGTTTACAGGAACAAGTATAAAGGACACATGGACAAAAAACTGGTGGGGGGGGTGTGGAAATGGGAGGGAGGTGGGGGAGGACTGGGGGGTGGGCTGGGCTGGGAGTAAAAGACAGAAAACTACTTGAACAACAATGAAAGGAAGGAAGGGGGGAGAGAGGGGGGAGAGAAAGAAAAAGAAAAGGAAGGAAGGAAGGAAGGAAGGAAGGAAGGAAGGAGAAAAAAGAAAAGAGAAAAGAAAGGTTAGGGCCATGGAAGGGAATCTCTACAAGCTCATGCTGTTGTTATTGTTGTTTTACAGATGAAAAATCAAAGGCACAGGTTGACCGGTCACCTTGGCCAGATGGCTCACTTGGTTGGAGCATCATCCCACTCACCAAAAGTTGTAGGTTTGAGCCCCAGTCAGGGAACATACCTTGGTTGAAGGTTCCATCCCCGGTGGAGGTGTGTATGGGAGACAACAGATGGATGTATGTCTGTCTCTCTGTCTCTCTCCCAAATCAAT